ATTCAGTAAAGCCGAGGTTTGCCTTCAGGCTTGGCATTGGCCCTATACTAGGCCCCCGGAGACCCTTAATAGCAGAGTGGGGTAGGGTGGGAAGTGGTGTAAGAAGGATTCTGCTAACCAAAAAAAGTTTTTTCTAGAATATGCTGAGAAAACTGGGGTTGGCCTCAGAACCCAGATTAATTGCTTAGGCATGGCCCCTTCAGTTTGACCCAACAGTCACGCAAGTGGCTTAGTTCTCATGTGTGCCCAGTGAGGCAGTGATGCGAAGGCCTAGGGTTCCCTCAGGTGCCTGCGATGTCGGTGAGGCCATCAAGCTACCCCACGTGGAATAGTACAGCTGGTCTATACATTATAAAGGCCTGTGAGGTGTGTGTGTGTCTAATTCAAATATTAGGTGTGGTAGGTAGACTACTGGCCCCCCAAAGATGTCCCTGCCCTAATCCCCAGAACCTGTGAGCTTTGCAGATGGGATTAAGTTAAAGATCTTGAGCTGGGGAAGCTGAGCCTAGATTATCAGGTGAGCCCAGTGTAATCACAAGAATCCGTAAAGGAGGGAGGCGGGCGGGGGAGAGTCTGAGCAAATGAGGGGGTAGAATCACAGATTGGGGTGGGAGAAGGCCAAGGCCTCTAAAAGCTGCAAGAAGGAACCTGGTTCTCCCCTGGAGCCTCCAGAAGACACAGCACCCCGCCAGCACCCTCCAGCCACTGATGTGGGCTGTGAAGATCTGACCTCCAGCGCTGTAAGAGAAGACACTTGCGTTGTCTCAAGCCACCCGCTCTGTGGTGAGTTGCTCCAGCAGTAACAGGAAATGAATCCACTAGGTCCATTCAGAAAAGGGGAGGAGGGACTTCCCTGGCAGTCCAGTTGTTAGGACTCTGTGCTTCCATTGCAGGGGGCACGGGTTCGATCCCTGGTCAGGGAACTAGGCTCCCACAAGCCACTCAGCACGGCAGGAAAAAAAAAAAAAGGAAATATGGTCTGGAGCTGAGTTTATCAAACTGAGGGTCAGAGCCCATTTGTAGGTTGTAAAATCACGGCTGGTACTTAGAGGAGAAAACAACATTCTGCATTGCGTGTCGTAAGTTCTGCTTCATGGTACTTCTGTTTCAGATACACAGGGGGCTGTGGACTAGGCCGCAACATATGTCTGTGGGGGTCATGGTCAAAAAAAGTTTGAAAGCTACTAAGGTAGAGGAGCCAGTCACCTGAGTGGGGCTTGATGAGGAAGGATGGGCGGATCCAGCACAGCAAGAATGTGTGCCATGCACACAAGGTCTCTGTGCCGGGCACCAAGGGAAGCAGCTGATATGCAGGAACTCCTCACAGCAACCCTGCAGGGTTAGAACTGTGACTGACTGCCACATCTTAGAGATGACAAAACTCAAGTTCAGAGAGGGAGGGCAGCCTGTATCGAGGCAGCCTCTCCAGAGCCCCAGGGGTAACCGCCAAGCATGCTCCCTGCTGGGTGGTGACAGGCAGGGGAGATGCCTAGCGACCCAGCCCAGTTCTGTCACCACACTCAGAAGCAGGGTGATGTCATTGGAACCAGGAGGGGACCCCCCGGCGATACCTGTGGGGTCTCCTGGTAGACCTCGGTTTCTCAGTTGAGCCTTGTGGCTTGGAAGGGGTGTGAGCAGGCCCCGGCTGAGGAGTACTGTGTGTGTTCCAGACCTCCATGTGTGTGTGGCCTTGGAAGGAGGCCCAGGGTCTCCCCTCTTCCCTCCTGGTACCGGGTGTCAATTCTTTGATCTCAGGGGGAGATCTATGGTCCCCATTCGGGGGTGGGCAGGGGCTGAGACAGAAGGAGATAGCGCTGCGTGCTTCTGGAAGGTTTTCCTCCCTGGTTTCCCGCTGCCTTGGCCAGCCCACCACCTCCTGAGTCCAGAAGCCTGAAGCTAGGCTGCCATCTTGTGACCAGGAGGCAGTAAGGCCAGTGCAGCAAGAAGGAAGGAGCAGAGAGCCAGGAAGGACCTTGATGGCCCTGAAACGCTGCACCAGACCCTAACTGACGGCCCTCCTCAAGTCAGCCAGCCCTGAGGAGTCAGCCTGGGTGTATGTCTGCCTCCTGGGAATCCTGGGAAGGCGGGGAAGAAGGTAGAGTGTAGGACCTTCATCCCAGGGCACCAGGGGAGGCAGATTCCGGGCAGAAACAGAAAGCTCTCTGAGTTGTTCTTTGAGCTCCAGATGAAATTCTTCCACCACCAGGTTCTCCTCACCCAAGGACTTGCTCCACTTAAGGCTTAGAAGACTGTTCCCCAAGGGAGCCATTTCAAATAACACCCCTGTCGCTTCCCAGCTTGAGGCGTGTTTCCCATCTACTGGGTCTTCCCACAGTGACCGCAGGCCTGTGAGGTGGCCGGGCAGTGCTTGTTAGGAATTAGCCTCACTTTACAGATACAGAAACCCAGGCACTGCAAGAAGATTCAAGTTACACTACAGGTTAAGTGGCAGAGCCGGAAGTGGGTTCAAGTTTCTAACCCCGCTGGTTTGTTCATTCATTGATTCATTCAGCAAATACATACTGAGTGCTCCTGGCTGCCAGGCACTGATCTCGGCGCCGGGAAGAGCAGAGTGAATAATACAAATATGGTTTCCGCTCACACTAAGCTTGAGTCTTATCAAATTAGCTCAGTTTCGTGAGGAAGAGGGAGTCCTCAGGTATGCATATTTGTTAGGATGCTTTTAGGAATGAGTAACAGAAAAGCAACTCAAACCAACTTAAAAAGTAGATTCCTTGGCTCACGTACCTGAAGAAACCCCCGGAGGCAGGTTGGGCTCAGGCTGCCAGTCAGAGGTTGACCAGGGCTCTGGTCATTTCCTGAGATTCTCTCCATCACGCTCCCCCCCCCACCCCGGGTTGTCGGGCTTCCCTGTGGCTCTTCCAGTTTCGTGTTCAAATTCCAGAAGGCGCTGCTTTCCCCTCTATCTTCATCCGAGATCCTGGGCTTTGCTTTGACCCACCGTCTCAGGTCACAAGTCCAGGAGGTGGGGCGGGGAGACCACACGCTGATTGGGTGACAGCACTCAGGGGCCGCCACCAGAGATGGAGCTCAGTCCCACCTGGGATGGTTCCCTGGGCATCTGCAAAGCTGCGGAGGGGTAAATGGAAGGCAGGGACACAAATGTCACCTCAGCATTAAACTGCACTTATCCTTACGGGATGGGGGTGGCCAGTACAGACCATCTGAAACTTTTTTCTGATTAAAGCCATCACTTGGATTTGCCAAGGCTGGATGGGGGGCCCTGCTGACAGCCACTCAGTGTCTCCTCAGAGCCAGGAAGGCCAGGGTCCTACTAATTGAAGCTGAAGTTTCCCAAGCACCCTGTGTGCTCACCTCAAAGTGCTCCTCACCTTTGGACACCTTTCATTCTCCCGGCTGCCCGCAAGTGTGGAATTGTGTAATGGGAGCCATGACTGGTGAGCACAGGATCCTGTTGAGGAGGGGGTCAGGGACAGAGTGACCTAAGAGACACTCACTCATGTCCTGCAGGATAAAGGGAAGTGGGCCAGGTGGGGACAGGGTGGGACAAGTGTTCCAGACAGAAAGAACAGCATGGCTCAAAGCGGGGAGACCTGACAGGGTGGGTGCCTGGCCCCGGACCTCCTGAGACCCACGAAGACCCCACGCCCATCCGTGATGCTGCTTAGTGCCTGGCTGACCAGCTGAGCTGAATCGTAGCGGGAGGGACCACCTGGCCACATCTCCATTGATGAGGCAGAGGGCAGGGATGGAGAGACCTACAGGCCTACCTGGCCCAAGACCCACATACAGGCGGCTGCCAGGCCGCTGGGTAACTTAAGGGTCGGAGGCGGTCTGCGGTGGAAAGAGGGGCAGGAAGTCGGCACTGAGAAGGAACTGGACCAGCCGGGGGTTGGTGGCCCCGTTTTGAAGCGAGGACCCCGGCGGCGGGCGGGCTGCCTCGGCTCCCCTGACTGCCCACACCCCGCACATTCGGCGCCCAGCGGGCATCCGATCGCGAATGGAGGGGTGGTCCCCGCGCGGCCGGGGCACGAGGCCGGGAGAGGCAGCTAAGCTGCTGGGTCACCGGCGCTCCCCACGGCCGCTCGCGGGGATGGGGGCTGTGCGCGCTGCAGGGCTCGGGTTCCCGCCCGGGCGGTGTCCCCCTTGCCGAGCCTCAGTCTCCCCGCCCGCCAGGGGGCGAGGGGCGGACGCCTTCAGGGCGCCCCGGGTCAGCTCGGCCCCAGCCCCGGGGGGTGGGCGGGACCAGGGCTCTCCAACCGCTAGCCGCCCGCCCGGGTCCCGCCCGGTCCCCGCGGGGCTGAGCCGGGAGGCCCCGCCCCCCGCCCACGAGGAAGTGGCAGAGCTGCGCGGGGCCCAGAGCCGGTTCGGCGCGTCGACTGCCCAGAGTCCGCGGCCGCGGCGCCCCGAGGTGAGGGGGCGCGGGAGCGGCCCGGAGAGGGGGTGGGCGTGGGGAGAGCGGGGAGCGACCTCATGCAGGTGGGGAGGACGCAGCGAGGGGCCGCCGGAAGATCGGGGATGAGAAGGGCCACACGGGGCCCGCCTGGAGGTGAGGGGACACGCGGGGCACGGGCTGCGGGCGGGCGGCCTCCTCCGGGCGAGGGAACCGCAGCGCTCCCCCCCCCCCCCCCGCAGTCTGCGCCCTCGGGGCGCCCCGGCCCGCGCGTCCGCCTCCCCACCCCCCTAGCCTCCCCCCTCCCCCCAGACTCTGCCCCGCCGTCGGTGTGCCCCGTTATTTCGGGCCGGAGGGCCCCACGCCCAGTCACTTCCCCTCCGTCCTCCAGCCTTCCGGGTTGCTCCAGCCGGGAAATGAGCTGGCGCCCCCGCCCGCCTCGCCTCGCCCCTCCCCTCCCTCCCTCCCTGCCGGCCACCGCCCCCTCCCTCAGCCCGCCTCCCGCCAGCTGGGCCAGGTCCTAGGGGTCCGGTCCAGGGAGGGGCGGGCCGGGTCTGGAACGCTCCCTCCTGAGCTCCCGAGCGCTAGACCGGAGCGTTCCGAGCGGCGCCCCCCGTTGCCGGCGGCGTGGGGACCGCGGCCAGGGCCGGGACCTCGGGCGGTGACAGTGACACAGTAGTGACTGGCGTGAAGCCGCAGGAGCTAGCCTGGTGCGGACACCGAGGCTCTCAGGTTATTCCGGGCTGTCCCCCGGCCCCTCCCGCCTGGCGGGCAGTGTTGCCCGGTGGTTAAGAGCACCCCCGCCGGCGAGGTCTCCGGGACCAGAATCTGGTAAGAGCGCCAGCTTCTTCCATCACTGGCCACCGACCTTGCAAGCCACCTAACCTCTCTGGGCCTCAACTTTGCTTATCTGGAAAGTGGGGAACTTTCAAGTTGTGAGGCTTAAATATGATCATGAGTGTAAGGCACACACGGGGACTAAACATGCCCTGTTATTGTCCTTGCTGTTATTTATAAGGCCTGCCTACATTTATCAAAGTGTCCAGGTGAACCTAAACTCTGAGATTGGGGTCAGTATCCCAAACTGTGCCGTTTAGGAGTGGGGTGACTTTGAGCAAAGTTTGGCTTTTGTCTGAGTCTGTTTCCTCCTGTACGAGATGAAGGTTAAAACAAACACTGGAAAACTTCTTGGGCTTGTTTTAGGGTGTAAAAGAGAGAATGTATGTCAAAGTCCTGGGTAAATTCTGGGCATTTAAAGATGCCAAGTTGGTCCAGTGGTTAGGACTCTGTGCTTCCACTGCAGGGGGCACTGGTTGGATCCCCTGTGGGGGAACTAAGATCCCCCAAGCCAAGTGGCAAAAAAAAGCCAAGTAAGTTAATTAATTACATAGTTAATTACATAAGTGTTTGTATATTATCCACATAGGTCTTATAACAACATGTTCATATCACTATTTCTCTTTCCATATTTGTAGTCATCTGGAGTTTTCTATCCTGTCACCATTTTAAAGAGGGTTATTATGAACATGTTTGCTTTAAAAAAAAAAGTTGGCTATTTTTTTAGCACCAAAATGAACTTATGCCACCAAAAATGTTAACAATTTTTAAGTTCCTGTTTGTGTTCTTCTCTTCTGTTTGTTCCCACCCAGTCGGTTGGATTGAGTGTTACCACATTGCCCTTCAGGAAGGCTGAACAAATTAGCAACAAATGAGAATTTCTCCACAGTCTGGCCAGCATTGAGTTTTATGCGTTTGAGGTTTTGTTTGGTTTGGATTATTTTAGCTGATGCTTTATGGTGCCTTATGATTATTTTCATTTGTGTTTCTTGACTTGATTTTGCCTGGTTTCTAAGACCTCAAGAGCGGAGCTGGTCTAGGATTGGCTGGTCTGTTGGGGTGAGGAGGGCTGTTCCACATACAACAGGAAGTTGAGTAACAGCTCAGCACGTGTGCAAAATGGCTTGCTGGCAGCTCCCTGGGGTGGCTGAGCTGGGTGGGGACTTCCCTGAGTGCCTGCAGAGCAGAGATCCTTGCTCCAGGCAGCTCCTGCCTGGTTTAGCCTCCAATGCAGTCAAACCTCTGGATTCAGAGAAGGTTGGGCCGGCGAAGCTTCTCTGAAAGCAAGAAAGAACCTACAGCTGGTGCCTCGTCCAACCCCAGACTTTTCTGGATAGAGATGTGGGGGAAACATGGGCGGAGGGCACCCAGTCAGTATGGAGAGAGTCAGAATTTGCACCCAGCATGTAAGAAAGAGATGGGAGGCCTGAGACCGTTGGCTGGGCAGCTGGGGGCTTCGCCTGGCTTGCCTTGCTTTGGAAGGGAGCTGTTTTCTCCCCGAATCCTCAGAGAGGACCCTTTAGATTGACGATTTCCAAATTTTTTGGATCATTGACGCTATCAGGAAAAAATCTTGAGCGCATACTCCCCAGTAAATATTTACAGATTGCATACATGTACCAGTGAAATAATAGGGCTGGTCTATAAGAAGTATACCATAAGACGGATGTGATTCATTCATGCAACCACATTCAAGAAATATTTATTGAGCACCTACTATGTGCCAGGCACTCTAATTGGTACTGGGGATTCATCTGTGAACAAAACAAATATACCTGTCCCCGTGCAGCTTATGTCCACACCCCGGTACATGGTCCTTGGCACCCCCTGCCTGGAGACCCACGCCCCACCTTGGAGACCCAAAGCTCCTCCCAGCCATCATGCTGCTCTCCCAGCCCTGCGTGATCCCCCATCCATTCATCCTGAGCACCTACTGTGTGCCAGACACGGGGGAAGAGCTACCTGGAGCACAGAGAGATCCCGGCTCCAGGCTGGTGGGGGACAGTTAGAGCCAGCTGGGGGAGTTTGTCGGGGTTTGGCCCGTGCTCCCCCAGCCTCACTCTCTTCCAGGGTGATGGGGGCACAGAGCACTAGACGTGGACTCCCAGTCCCAACGCCATCCTCAGGGCCCCTTCCTCTCTCTTTGTCCTTGACAGTCAAATGGGTCCACAGTGCTGACTCACAGGGTCACAGCGATGAGTGGGTGGGTTTCCCGGGGCCATGCCTCAGCCTGCCTTTGTCTCCACCAGGAGACACCGCTGAGCTGTTGCATTGTCCACACTCGGGCAGTGCCCGCCCCACCCTCCCCTCCCGCCCCTCGGTAGGGTAGAGGTTTCCCTGGGAATGATTAAGACATAGTTCCTGTGGCGGGGTGGCCTGGTGTGAAGGCTGTTTTCCTGGATCTGACCACACGGAATGATCCCATGATCCTCAAGCCTGCAGTGGCTGGAGAAGCCACGCCCCTCCCTGGGCTGCCACTTCCGCATTTGTAACCTGTGGGGGTAGGGAGTCCTCGGGGGGGCCCTGCTGCTTTCAACCGCTTTGCAGAAGTTATGAAAAAGTTATGAAAAGGGGAAAACACGTCTTCCTCTCTCCCACCCCTTCCACCCGTACCCCCTCCCCCCTTTACAGTGTGGGTCAGTAGACTAGGGAGTATTTCTGTCTGAATTTATGCTAAAGTGTGATCGGCTGATAGGTGTGCTCTGAACCTGCCTGTCCCACTGTGCTGTGGCCATCTTTATCAGCCCCTCCCTCTCCCCCTTGAGAACCTTTGGGTCCCAGGAAACAATGGGCAGGGTCCCCAAGCCCTCTCAGATGCGATATTGGCAAGTGTGGGGGCCGCGGTCCTCTGTAGAGCCAGTGTCTCCATCTTCACAGCCTGGAACAAAGTCCCTAGACAGGCTGTTAGAGCCCGGCCCACACGTCTGGACACTCACCAAGAGCCGACAAGGGGCAGAGATGCCCGGCCAGACAGTGTGCCTGGGACAGTTGGAGCTGGGAAGTTGGGTTCTGCTCCGTCTGAGTCTAGGGTCCAGGGACCCCCTGGGCTCTTGCTGGGACGCCTGGGGTGAAGGGGAGGGGGTGGTTGGCCTCCTGTGGAGTCAGGGGCCAAGAAGAACCTAGCTGGCGTTTGGAAGTGAGTTTCTTACTTTAACCACCACCACCCCGCCCCGCCCCCGCCCCGTTTGTGACCTTGGGGAATGGGGGCAGGCAGAGCAGCACAGCTTAGTGGACAGGCCTAGGTGCTCCCTCCCTGCGGTGGAGACGTGGATGACCCCCGCCCACCCAGGCCGGATGCAGCGGAAGTGCCTGGGGAAACCCTGTCAGGCCTGCTGACCTGGGCTCCGAGGCCACTTCCGGGGCCTTTGCTTTACACAAAGAGGCCTTATAAGGAGACAGAGGCTGGGGAGGCGGCCGCTGTGGGAGCGGTGTGCTCGTGTGTGCATGCAAGGCTGACATGCGTGTGTGTACGGGAGCAGTGTGTGCGTGCGTGCGCGTGCGCACGTGCAAGGCTGACCGCGCGTGTGTGTGGCCTCAGCCTGGCTGTGTGTGTCCACCTTCTTTCTCAGCAAATGTTGCCCAGGGACCCACTCGGGGCCCTGCTCTAGGCCTGCGGGAACAGGCGTGGTGGTCCCTGTCCTCTCTGTGCACGTGTGCGCGGTAGTCTGTGCCGCTTTAGGAACTTTCCAGGACTTCCTGCTATAAATTAAAGCGGGATTTGTGGTCGCTGAGCCCCGGAGTCCCCAGCAGTATGATGGACGGCACTGCAGCCTGACCCTCGTGTCTGGGCCCCAACTCAGTGCTGTTCCTCCCAGAGGAGTCTTGGTCGAGACCCCCCCCTGGGGGCAGAGAGAGACCCCAGGGTTCCGGGGAGGTCAGGGCTCAGATCCAGGCTGAGGAGCGGCCTTCCGGGGGCCCAGCCTCGGGCCACAAACCTGCCAGTCAGGTGGGGGAGGTGACCGAGGGCCTGGGAACACCACGTCAGGGCCACGTGACTCTGGCAGGTGGCTTCCCCTCCAACCGCAGCCCTCACATCCGTCATCTGGGGCTCAAGTCGAGAATACAGGAGGGCTTAGAGCTGGTGAGTGCAGCATTCAGGGAATGCGGTGTGGCTTTTTTTTTTTTTTTTTACATTAAAAAAAAAAACTTACTCTGCTGGACACTAATGGCAGTAAACAATTGTGTTCATCAAATATTTATCGAGTGCTTACTATGTGCCACGCATTTAGGCGCTGGGGATAGAAATGTAAACAAGATGGTCAGAAATGTGTGTCTCCATCAAGCTCATTACTTTCCAGCAGGGGGAGAAAGACAAACGGGCAGGATGAATGAGCACAAAGTAACTCGTGTTCAGTAAGATTATCCCCTGGAGAAAACTAGGGCCTAGGGAGTGTGGAGGTGGTGTGGGAGGCAGCCTTGCTCAGAAGGTGGCCTTGGACACAGACTTGAATGGCAGCAGCGAGGGTGGGAGCTGTGCAGGCAGCTGGGGGAAGAGCTTCGAAGGCCGAGGGAACAGCCAGTGAGAAGACCTGAGGCTCGTGGGCCCCTGGATTGGCCCCTGGTCCGGCCGGGAGGCCCACCCCTAAACAGGTGAAGCACGGCGGGTGCCGGCACATCCATTCTAGACAAAGCGCTGCCATTTCATGATCACCTACTATGTGCCAGGCATGGTGTGTCGTCTTGTTTCACCCTCTTAACACTTTGGCCGGCGGGGGACCGGATTCCTGTTCCCATTTGGCAGATGTGGAAATTGAGGTTCAGAGAGGGTGAGTGAGATGCCGGGGTCACACAGCTGGTAGGCAGTGCTGCTGGGCTCTACCCATGACTGGGAAGCTGAGGTGGGGAGAGAATGGGTTTGAGGAAGTGATGCTCTCTTTGGGTCTTCCCAGTTGAGCAGGACTTTGCCGCATAGAACAGAGGTGGACATTTGGTGGTGTAGAGAGACTAGCACGCTGGTGTGAAATGTGGACAGAACTGGCCTCCAAGGCACATCAGGCTTGGCCTTCCCTGCAGTGGGAAGGAACAGCATGTGCAAAGGCCAGGAGGCCTGGCTCACCCCTGGGGAGCGAGAGTTTCCATCTGTGGGGAAACTGAGGCACAGATGATGAGTGATGGCCTGTCTGGGGCAGGGTCCCAGCACACCCCACTCATGGTAGTGGCTTCGCGCACACCCCCATTCCCTGCCTCCACTCCCCACCCCATCCTTTGTGTTTGTACCCTGGAGCCTCGGACACATCCCATGAGAGCTGCTGTTTCATGAGGAGGGAAACTGAGGCCCCAGGAGGGAAGCAAAGCGCTAGGCCAGAGTCGGGAGGCCAGGGTGGCCCCTGGCTGCCCTCCCGTGAGGCCGGCTGGGGCAGGGTGGGGCTGACCTGGCTTCCCTCTCTGTCTTGGGCACAGCAGCCGAGCAGCCATGGCCTATCACAGCTTCCTGGTGGAGCCCATCAGCTGCCATGCCTGGAACAAGGACCGCACCCGTGAGTGCCCCCCCCGACCATCGGATGACGTGGGAAGCTGTCCCCCTGCTTGACCCCCGATCCTGAGATCCTGAGTGTTAGGAGGGAAGGGACCCAAGCAGGGCAGCCAGGCGAGCGGGCATTGAGGGTTGGAGGCGAGAGCACGGCCCTGCCTGCACCAGGCACTGCTCTGGGTGCCAGGACTGGGTGGGCACAACAGCGGGTCTGCCCTCTGCTCACGGCTACGGGAGGGTTTGGGGATGGGAAATGTAACCTGCAGTGAAATGAGCTCTGAGGAAACATGAAGGGTGAGGGGAAAGCGATGGAGCCAAGGCACTAGTTTAGAAAAGGGGGCCAGGGAAGGGCTTTCAGGGGAGGTGACGTTTGCATGGAGACCCAAAGGAGGTGACGGAGCCGGCGTGCGAAGGCCAGGGTGGGTGTAACGGCCCCGCGGTGGCAGAGCCTGGTGTCATCAGGAGCAGCAAGGAGACCATGGCTGGAGCAGGGGCGGAGCAGGGGGCAGGGAGAGCTCCCGCAGGTTTGCGAGACTGCCTTGGGGACACTGGGGCTGGGGGGTGCAGATGAGGGGTGGCCAGCCCCTGGGGAGGAGTCCCAAGGGGGGCCCAGCAGGACCTGAGGCAGAGGAGGAGCGTGCATTAGCACAGGACAAAGTGTTGCTCAGGTGGCCTGAGAAGGTGGGGAGTCATGGGGGAGCCTGGGCACGCATGCCTCCTCCCCACGCCCACCCGTCTCTCCTGCAGAGATCGCCATCTGCCCCAACAACCACGAGGTGCACATCTATGAGAAGAGTGGGAACAAGTGGGTCCAGGTGCACGAGCTCAAGGAGCACAACGGGCAGGTGACAGGTGGGTTGGGCTGGCTGGGGTCATCTTCCTGAAAGAAGGCAGGGGACAGGGCAAGGCCGGGCCATCCACCTACTCACTGTGTTAGGTAGGATAGTTTGGGTTGCAAGTAACAGAACCCTGATTCAAACTGGCTTAAGTTATAAAAGGATTACACTGATTGGTTAATGTTACTGAAAAACTGAGAAGTTTAAGGGCTTCAGGAAAGGTGTGATCCAACAGCTCAGCATCACCAAGGAGCCATTTCTCTTCAGTCTCCTGGCTTGGCCTTCCGGCATGTTTGCTGATAGCTGGGGGAGCTGTAACACCCCCAGTGAACTCTAGTAGTACCCCCTGCAGCAGCTTTCATCCCGATTGTGGCCTCTAAGCCCCCCCCATGCGTACACTGGAGAGCCACCTCTGCTTGGATGGTTTCAGCCTAGTGCCTCCTCCCACCCCACAGGCATCGACTGGGCCCCCGAGAGTAACCGCATCGTGACCTGCGGCACAGACCGCAATGCCTACGTGTGGACGCTGAAAGGCCGCACGTGGAAGCCCACGCTCGTCATCCTGCGCATCAACCGCGCCGCTCGCTGTGTGCGCTGGGCTCCCCAGGAGAACAAGTTTGCTGTGGGCAGTGGCTCCCGTGTCATCTCCATCTGCTATTTTGAGCAGGAAAACGACTGGTGGGTGCCTGGGTGGGGCCAGAGTGGGCTGGGAGGGACCTGGGGCTGCAGACCAACAGGTGCTGGGACAAGAGGGTCCCAGAAAACACGGGACGGGGAGTCAGGACCCCTGTTCACATGACCCTGGGGAAGTGTGTCCTCTCTGGCCCTTGGAGGTGAGGCGAAAGGCTCTCTGCACAGCCTCCTGCCCTCCCACAGCTCTGTCTCAGTAATAGGCGCCCAGGCAGCACCCGGGCCGCCTCTGCAGGCATCACGCTAAGCCCTGCACACGTATTGGCACTGACCCACCCCCTCCCATCAGCCCCCTGGACTGGGCGTCTGCTGCAGTCCCGTTACAGATGAGCAAAGGCCCTGAGGCAGATCACTCGCCCCAGGCTCCCCGCCCATCACACTCCAGGGCCCACTCACAAGCTCCCAGGCACGTCGTGATCTTCTCCCCGGGGTCCCTGAGGGCAGAGGCCAGGTGGGAGGTCAGGCTGGAGTCCAAGAGTCGAGTTCAAATCCCACCCTGACCAGTTAGCGGCCTCGTGACTTCTCACTGAGCTGCCCCAGGGTTGTCGCAAGACAAGGGATGGAGTCCCCACCCTGGGTGGGACCTGGCACGTTGCTAGCCTGGACCCAGGCCCCTTCCTCCTGGGACCTCTGTGGTCTGCAGGGCCCAGTGGGAGCCTGGAGCCTCTGGGTTGGCGGGTGCCCACCTGTGTGTCCCTGTCTCCTCCCTACCTGTCTGCCTGCCGTGTCCAGGTGGGTTTGCAAGCACATCAAGAAGCCCATTCGATCCACCATCCTCAGCCTGGACTGGCATCCCAACAACGTGCTCCTGGCCGCCGGCTCCTGCGACTTCAAGTGCCGGTGAGGGGGGCCCTGCCATCGACACAGGGACAGGGATTGGAGGGTGGAGGGGAGCTCCGTCCTGGGAGCCCCACGACCCACCTTCCAGACCAGCTCTGCTGCCAGCAGGTGACCTGGGGGCCTCAGTCGAGCTTCTGCGAGGTTTTGCTCTTTGAAGGGTCATCCCTGGGTCCTCTCTCCAGCCTCTGGGGAGTCTTAAAAGGATGTGCCCCTTGCCACCGCTTAATGTCAGCAAGATTTCTTTTCTAGGCCCTCCTGTATTCATGAGAACCTCCCACTCCTTCAGCTTCTTGGCTTCTATCTGAGGGAAAATGAGTGGGTGTACTTTTTCACATTAAGGTATAATGACTGATAGGCTGGAACAAACCCTGCCTCGTTATCTTAAGGCCTGGAACAAAGAGTCTCCACCTGCCACTGGCTGGCTGTCACTTCTGGGCCCATTACCCTCCCCCCCCCCCCCCGAGTCTCCCAAGGCCTCCGGCTCCCAGCTTCAGGCAGATGGCCTGGGTTTCTGCATCTGCCCTGGGAAATGACGCTACAGCAGGCACCAGAGGCCCCAGGCACAGAGAGGATGAGGTCCTGATGAGGCTCTTGTTGGCACCCTGACCTGTCAGATGACTCCGGGCTGGCCCTGGGATGGCGAGTGGAACTGGTGGAGCTGGCAGGAAGGAGGGCAGGATTGGTTCACGGTGCAGAGCAGGAGGCGGGGCACATCCTAGGGGCTAGCCCTGGAGGGTAGTGGTCAGCGTGAGGGGGACAGGAGACGCCCTGGGAGCCACGTCAGCCGTGGATGGTCAGTCCTCAGGTGAGGGCCCCAAGGGTCCTGGGAGCTCCCGGGACCCTGGGCTGGGAGACCTGACCCCACACTATTGCCCAAAGTGGGCACCGAGGCCCAGACTTGTCTGCGCGTGAAGATGCAGGTCACGGAAAGCCGGCTACAGTACCCTTGGACTCAGCCGGGTGCTCTGGCCTCAGCAGGCCAGTTTGGGAGAGGGAGTCCCTTGTCAGGCCCCTCCCAGACCCCCGGTCACCCCCTCTTTGGCCTCTCCCGGCAGGATCTTCTCAGCCTACATCAAGGAGGTGGAGGAGCGGCCAGCACCCACCCCGTGGGGCTCCAAGATGCCCTTCGGGGAGCTGATGTTTGAGTCCAGCAGCAGCTGCGGCTGGGTGCACGGGGTCTGCTTTTCCGCCAGCGGCAGCCGTGTGGCCTGGGTCAGCCATGACAGCACCGTGTGCCTGGCTGATGCCGACAAGAAGATGGCGTGAGTACAGGTCACCCGAATGGGGGGCAACCCAGGCACCGAGCACGAGGGGCCGGTGTGGCTGACGTCTCTCTCTCTCTCACTCAGCGTCGCGACTCTGGCCTCTGAAACGCTGCCGTTGCTGGCCCTGACCTTCATCACAGAAAACAGTCTGGTGGCAGCGGTAAGGGGGCGTGGGGGCAGGAGAGCAGGGGCCGGTGACAGCAGGTCTCCCAGCGAGCCCCGAGAGATGCCCAGGCAGCCCTCTACTTGTCCCCCCTCCCTCCTTTCCTTCCTCCCATCCACCCACCCATCCATCCATATCTCTGTTGGCCAAAATAGGTTGGGTTATGCTGTGGTAACAACAACAAAAAAATCCCCAACTGCAGTGGCCTAACACAGTAAAGGTTTGTTTCTTGCTCACTTCGACTGTCCAGCGTGGGCGCTGTGAGGGGGGCTCTGCTCAGTGCAGATGGGAGCTTTGTCTCCCGTGGAGTGAGGAGGGGAAGTGGAGAACTGGGCCCTGGATCCTAACCTTTCTGCTTACATTTTATTGGCCAATGAAAATGACAGGACCACACCTCCTCACTCAAGAGAATGAGTGCTTGTGGGGGAGTGCAGTCCTGTGTGTCCAGAAGGACACTACTCTCCCTCCCTCCTCCTGCCCACCTATCTGTCAAGGCTCTTCTCAGGCCTCAGGAAACCTAATGGGGTCCTAGAGGGGGATCAGGCCTGCTTTGCCTAGACAAACGTCCAGCTGTGGGGTCTCTCCCAGAGCAGGTGTAACCGTCTAGGCAGGACAAGGCCCCCTGGGCTCCCAGGAAAGTCCCAGACCAGCTTTCTCAACTGAATGCTGGCCCTGCTGGCTGAGGGGGCTGCTCCTAGGTGCTCAGCCCCGACATCCAGTCCCTGTTACTACACCTGGGGTCGCCGACTGTGTCCCCGAGCTGGCATCGGCTTCTCTGTGCTACACCCAAGCCCTGCATCCAGCCTCTGGGACCCCCCGATTCGTGGCCGGGCACCCCTCGGCGTTGCACCTGCCCTTCGGCCTGGGTTTCCCCGGGAGGAAAGTGGGGGCACTCCAATGTCACCCCGCCCCTCCCTGCTGCAGGGCCACGACTGCTTCCCAGTGCTGTTCACTTACGACGGCGCCGTGGGGACGCTGAGCTTCGGTGGGCGGCTGGACGTGCCCAAGCAAAGCTCGCAGCGTGGCTTGACAGCCCGCGAGCGCTTCCAGAACCTCGACAAGAAGGCGAGCTCGGAGGGCAGTGCGGCAGCGAGCGGGGGCCTGGACTCGCTGCACAAGAACAGTGTCAGGTGAGAGCGGGGCCGAAGGGCGAGCTCCACACCCACCCAGGCAGCGTCGAGGTGCAGGCCCACTTAGGAAGCTGGTCAGTCTCTTGAGGTTTTGCATCAGGTGGGGGCAGAGCAGTCAGCCTTGCTCTGCGTTTTCAGTTTTCAGGACGCGCTGTGGGACTGTTCTGGGGGGTGGCCGGGCAGTGACTGGAGGGGGGAGGGGCGGAATGAAGGGTCTCGCAGCAGCCTCCCTGAGGAACTAGAGTGGAACCAGAGCCAGAGACTCCCGGATCCTGCCAGCCACAGGCGTCCACCCCAGGACAAATCAGAGGAAGTGTGGCGAGACTTTGACCTTGCCCCTTGGCTAGTTAAACCCTCCTGTGGCTGCCTGGCCCAATGTCTTCAAACTAAACTCCTCTGCCCGGCCTTCAAGGCTCTTCAGAACTAGCCCTGCATCCACTCAGTGCCATCTTCTGCTGCTTCTCCCCACCCTACCATGCTCCATCATTCTGATTCCCCCAGCACATGTGCCTTCACCCCCTGCCCAGGCCTTTGTGCGTCCTGTTCCAGCTGCCCGGCCGCCCTGTGCTCCTTGCACAGGGACTACTGCTCGTCCCTACAGCAGACTCAGGAGCCCCGTCCTGTCGTCCTCTGTGATCCTTCACAGCCCGGCCTCCTGGGCTGTCCCTGCTGGGCACACACACTCACACTCACTGGGGTGGGCTCCCCCAGAAGCTGGGGAGCTCCTGGAGGGCAGAGTGGGCCGGAGCACAGCCCAGGCACAGGCTGGGATCTGTAAAGCCCTCATCCTCTTTGCAGCCAGATCTCGGTGCTCAGTGGGGGGAAGGCCAAGTGCTCGCAGTTCTGCACTACAGGCATGGACGGCGGCATGAGCATCTGGGACGTGAAGGTGAGGCCTGCCCTCTCCCCACCGCCTCGCTTCCCCGCAGGCCGCCCAATTCTCCCTGGCAGCCCCGCAGGCCGCCCAATTCTCCCTGGCAGCCACCTGGATGCCCCAGTCCTCCTTCTTCTTTCCTGCAGGGCACTTCAGTGGGGTGAGGGCTCCTTGGCATCTGGGCCTTGGCACCCTCTGCAGCACCTTCCTTTAGGGCTGGGATTCAAACCCAGGTCTCCCTGACCCCAAAGACCAGGTTCTCTGTCCCAGGCCAGGTCCCTGTGGGTGGGGTGTCTGCAGGACAGCTGAGAACCAGCCCGTCTTTTACTTGTCTCCTTCCAGAGCTTGGAGTCAGCCTTGAAGGATCTCAAGATCAAATGACCTGTGAGGAGTCTGTTGCCCTCATCCCAGCTGCTGAGGGAAGGGGGTCAGGGAGACGAAGGATCGCTTTGCTGAATGTTTCTAGGGTACCAGTTCGGGTCCCCACAGGCTGCTCCCTCAGGTGGGGAGGGGAGGGGAGGGGAGGGGCGGGAGGCTTACCTACTGAAGGAACAATTGCCTTTTTCTTAAAGAAATGCTTCCATTTATTGTAAAAAATGTCCCCAAAGCACTCTGCTGGTCATGAACTGCTTCAAAATGTGGAGGTAATAAAAATGCAACTGTAGACACGCCGGCCTGTGTGTCTAGGAGGAGAGGTTAGTTTGGGCAGAGCACTGGTAGCTTATTTTTGTTTGCCAGCACAGCTGATCCTTAAACCCAAGAGGCTGCCCCCAAATGGTTCCTTCCCTGCTGCAGTCCAGCCTGGGAGCTGCCAGGACCAGGTGTCTTTTCTGTCACTCATTCAGCAGTCAGATTCCTAGACAAGTGGTTGCACATTGTGGGCTGGTTCTGGGCTTTAGTGGAAACTTATTATTTCTCTATTTGATGTTTGCGGTTGGTTTCTACTAACTGCTCATCATTTTTTAGGACTTTTTTTCCCCATTCCTATTTTACTCAGGTGTTTTTGTTTAATTACATGCTTTTTTTTTTTTTTTGCGGTACGCGAGCCTCTCACCGCCGTGGCCTCTCCCATTGCGGAGCAACAGGCTCCGGACGCACAGGCCCAGCAGCCACGGCCCACGGGCCCAGCCGCTCCGTGGCATGTGGATTCTTCCTGGACCAGGGCACAAACCCATGTCCCCTGCATCGGCAGGCGGACTCTCAACCACTGCGCCACCAGGGAAGCCCTCACATGCTTTTTAGTTACCTGTTTACGTAACCATGGTTTTTCTTTTAGTCTAACTAGGTAATGAATTACATCAGTAGATCTAATTGTGAACTGTCCTCACATCTGCAGGACAAACGATACTTAAGGAAGCCTCCCCCGCCCCACTGTTCTAGGGCCTGTCCCTCAGGATAGCCTCCTCGGTGAGAGGAGACCCACTGATGCTTTTTTAAATCAGGAGATAAAAATTCTCAGTCCCCAGAGACAGCTCAGGCTACACAGCTCCCTTTAGTCTTTAGTCTTCACCGAGTCCCTCCCTGCCTGGCGCCCATGTGCCTCTCAGGACTGCGCAGAGGGCACTGCTGTTTAGGAGGCGGTGCCCCTCCTGGAGGGGTGCAGAAGCAGAACAGGCGCCCACGTGACTGCTAAGCCTCGGCTTCCCCACTGCCACCCCACCACGAACAAGGTAATGCCTAGCAGTCATGCTGGGTGTTGAGTCCCTTACTCCCAGCCCTGAAATCCTGAGGCTGTCACCACCAGGGGGCACCAGGAGGACAGGACGCTATGTACTGTGCCCAGGTCCCTGGCCCCTCCGGCCTAAGGTCCCCGCTTGATTAAAGGAGGGGAGGGGGCTGGCTCCTGTATCCTGAAGCCTCTCCCAGCTCGGATGCCCGGGGTCCAGTCCCTGTACCCGGATTGGTGCCGCCCGAACCCTGGGGTGGGCCTGCCTGAGAGTGACACCTTGTGCTGCTGGGTGAAAACAGCCCAGGCATGGGGGCCCAGAGACAGATCACAGAACCAGAATTACGATAATGTCAAGTTTAATTTGCCAAATATACAAGTTGGACTTGTGGAGCATGTTTTGCCTGGGGGCTACACAGTAAACAGGTTTCTTGAAATGATCCATGGGCAGGGTTAAGAATGGGCCCGGGCCCTGGCCAGAGTCGGGGGTAGGGAGTAGGGTGGGAAGGTCAGGAGCGAAGCCTCAGTCAGAGGGGACTGACTGGGGATGAGCCATGACCCTCAGAGACCCAGGGCCCTGGCTCCCAGGCGACAGCCCCCCCAATTGGGCGCCGGGGCAACACAGACAGGGGGCCGTCCATCACAAACTTGTCAGCAGCTACTGCGGCTCAACCGTCCCCTGCCCCGCAATCGACCAGACAAACGGAAGCTCTTCTTACCCCACCTCCCAGGCACCCCCCCTCCCACAAGGGTTCTGAATTCTAAAAACAGCCAAAACATTCAAATGGTTACATATGCAGCTGTCCTGCATCTTTCTGTCTCAAAGATAGCAGCTGCCCCTCCCCCCACCCACCATCCCCCCAAACGATTTCTGTGTCAAGATGAAGAGGAGCCGTGGGGGGCTCCTTGCCGCGAGGGGCTGCTGCAGTGGCGCCGGGGCACAGGGTGGGTGAGACACGGCAGAGGTCCTGGCAGCACGGCCCAGTTCCCTGCTATCTCCTCCCACAGGCCGTGCTACTTATTCAGGGAGAGCGACTGCATTCGTTTTCCTGACAAAGCGGCATCATCTTTTGCTGAGGAGCAGGAAGGGAGGAGTTACAAGACAACACCACCCCTCCACATACGCAGCCCGCACACCCCCGAACCATATACAACTGTAGGTCTGAAAGGCCTCAGACAACATTTTGTGCAACTGGTTCAGCTGGCAGATGAGGAAGCAACCCAAGGAGAAGGGCCCGGACTGACGCCCTCCCCTGGAAGCCACCGGACCCACGTGTCCAGACATTCTCGTGGAGTCTGGGTGGCTGCCCCCTCCACAAAAGCCCACCAACACACAATCTACTGAGCAAATGGAAACTCTTCTCAGCCCACCCCCCAGGCAGAGCCCTGTAATTCCAACCTCTCCCTGTGGATTCTGAAGCCTGCAATCAGCAACATTCAAATAGTTACACATGAGGTCCTTTCCTGCTTGAGGTCTGTGAAAGGAGCTACTAGTGGGAAGTTGAGATTACTGGGTATCTCCAATGTGGTGACAATGCCCTAGGGCAACTGATTTCCCATCTCTAGGCCTAGAAAGCAGGACAGCAAGATCCCAACACACTCATGACCCCCCACATATGGAGCCATGAGGCCAGAAGGTCATGAGTCAAATGCTCCTTTAAAGCAGACCGGTTCCCCACAGCCAACCTGGCCTGGAAGAATCCCTACCACCTTTGGCCCCACTGGAAGGAAGGCAGGGGGGAAGAGGGACACCTGGGCCAGGTATCATCTGTGACATCCAGCTGAAATACGAAATGCTGACATATGAAGAGCTACCCCAGGCAGCTCTCCAGGCTACACAAGACACCAGAGACCTTAGGGGAACCTTCTAGCCTCTAAGGTAGGTGCATCCTGAGGCCTCCCTCGGATGCTGTGGACAGTGCTCTGCTGAGATTCAAACTCACATCTGACTCCGCTGCTGCTGGACTCTCCTAGCATCCTGGGAGGTGGCGGGCAGGAACACCCACCTCCATCTGACAGTGAGAAGGGCAGGCAGACAGGCACGCACGTGCACATACACCCACACCACCCTCCCCACACACACGGTAGGCCTCTACCGAACAGTCTGACCTCATACCACTTCACGACAAGGACACTGAAGTGCAGGGCTTGGTGACCTGTCCAGAACCAGTCAGGCTGCCACAGCAGCGGCTCAAGACTTACCTTTCCTCTCTTCTTCTTTCTTCCTGGCAGCCTCCTCCCGCTGTTTCCGGATGATCGCCAGCCGGGCAAGGTCAGCCTTGGCTTGCTCCGTCTTCCCCGCTAAATGCATTTTCATGTAACGCTCTTTTGCTTTCTGCTTCTCGATTTCTTCTCTGTTTGGGTAAAATGGTGTCACAGGGGCCATCTTCCCCACCATTAGCAGCTGAGCTGGATGTGGGAGCCAGAATAAAGCCCAAGCACTCAGGCCTGGGCCCTAGCTCCGTGTGCCCCCTCCTTGATGACGCTCAGCAAACAAGCCAGCAGTGGCTGTCACTCTGCAACCTCAGAGGGGGTTTCACTGGTGAGAAAGAAGCTGCTGGAAGGGGAGACTCTTCAGCAGCCTCCAATCACACCCCAAGCTTGTGGGCCTTCCCCACTGGGTTTTCAGAGACCCCCCTCAGCTGTCACAGAGTCAGCACAGCAAGGTGGATTTAAATCGAGCAACCCAGTCAGGAGAGAAATCAGGGTGGCTTTTCCTAGTAGCTTTCAACCTCCTATAAGGCCCTTGATGTCACCTGGTGGCCGTGAAAAGTCAGGGAACAACTTGTTAAAGACCAGCTGTGTGCAGGGCACTGTAGCACTTGGTGTGATCCTTGCACAGCCTGTGAGCGAGCTCTCTGCAGCTCCATTTTCACCTGGGACTCAGAGAGGACTGGGGCAGCTGGTGGACCTCCCTGCACAGTGCTGGACGGCATGGGTCCCCAGTCCCCTCCCAATCCCTATGGCCACAACATCAGGGATGGATGCAGGCCAAGAAGGGTCAGATCAGGCTGGATAAGGGAGGTATCCCTGGAGTGGGGTGCCCTGGAGGAAAGGGCTACAGCATAATTTCTGTTTTTCCTGCTATGCTTCCACTGGGGGAAAAAATTCTGTTTTCTGCTTTGTTTTGTGGGGGAGAAGCTTCTATAGGGCCTTTGGGTGAATGAGATGACAGAGAAATAAATACCAGAGCCAGAGCGCCCACCAGCCACTGGGGACCTCAAGAGCCCAGGAAGCAAGGGCAGAGGAGCTGGGGGCCTCAGCCCCTGGCCCAAGTCACAAGGCTCAGAAGCAGAGGTTACCTTTCTCTCCTTGAAAGTTCCTTGGGCCCATCCAGGTCCAGCTGTGTGACCTTTTTGGTTGTCTGTGCCACCCGGTTGGGGTTCTCAATGTCAATGAGCCCTTCTACACCTTTGCGCTTTTGCTAAGATAGGACAAGAAGCCGGCTGTCAGAGCCCCTGAAGGCCACTCCCCATCTCCACATCCTCCTGGACTAGGACAAACTCCCGCTCCACCCCCAGGCCACGTGACTCCTGGCCCAGCCTCACGGTGGGAACAGTGCTCGGGTGTCTTCACCACCTGGGGAGATGCAGGGAGAGCGAGTGCGGGTGACCAGAGCCCATCCTGTGCCCAGTCCCGGCCACCAGGGATCATTATCCTAGTTTCACAGGTGGCAGAGGCCAACTCACAAGCTCTCAGCACAGAGAGTTACTCCCTCACTTCAAGCTCAGCCTCTGAAAGCAGTTTTCCATGGAACGCCATGGCTGACTGCAACAAGCCATGCTGGATCCCCACAGCAGGGTGGGCCAATCCCTAGCCATCCGGGTGACAGCAGGGAAATGGGACTTGGGAACGAGTCACACAGTCTACAGGTTTGGGGAGGCGGCACAAGAACCTGGAGCTCGCACCTCCCACCTGCCCTGGGGAAGTTCAGAAAGAAGTGAGAGCACAAGTGCTAGACGTAACAGGTTCGATCAAAGTTTCAGGCCCTGTCAACCCAGGTTTTCTCTTTAAGAGACCAGGGAGACAGCTTCCAAACGCCAGTTAATCTGAGCACTGCACGGAGCTCCAGGCACCTCTACCCAATCGGCTACACATATACACCTCCACCCAGATACCTGACATCACAAATTTAACTTGTCTGAAACAGAACTGGAGACTCAGCCCTCACCCACCCCGTTCCTCCCAATCCTAAGGACAACCTTGTTTTTCTTTCCCTCAGCAAACCCCAATGAGTCTACCTCTAAGACATGGCTTGAATCTGCCCACTCCTCTCCACTGCCATTGCCACCAGCCTAACACAGCCACAATTTCTCATCTGGATACCTGCTGCCGTCTCCTGGCTTCCACCCTCAACACCTTACAACTCACTCTCGGCGGAGGAGCCAAAACAATCTTTTTTTTTTGCGGTACGTGGGCCTCTCACTGTTGTGGCCTCTCCCGTTGTGGAGCACAGGCTCCGGACGCGCAGGCTCAGCGGCCATGGCTCACGGGCCCAGCCGCTCCGCGGCATGTGGGATCTTCCCGGACCGGGGCACGAACCCGTGACCCCTCCATCAGCAGGCGGACGCTCAACCACTGCGCCACCAGGGAAGCCCCAAAACAATCTTTTAAAAGCAAATCTGGGGGCTTCCCTGGTGGCGCAGTGGTTAAGCATCCGCCTGCCAATGCAGGGGACAGGGGTTTGAGCCCTGGTCTGGGAAGATCCCACATGCCGCAGAGCAACTAAGCCCGTACGCCACAACTACTGAGCCTGTGCTCTAGAGCCTGTGAGCCACAACTACTGAGCCTGCGTGCTGCAACTACTGGAGCCCGTGCACCTAGAGCCCATGCTCTGCAACAAGAGAAGCCACCGCAATGAAAAGCCCGCACACCGCAACGAACAGTAGCCCCCGCTCGCCGCAACTAGAGAAGCCCACATGTAGCAACGAAGACCCAACATGGCCAAAAATTAATAAATAAATAAAATCTATTAAAAAAAGAAAAAAGCAGGCTTCCCTGGTGGCGCAGTGGTTGAGAGTCCGCCTGCCGATGCAGGGGACACAGGCTCGTGCCCCGGTCCGGGAAGATCCCACATGCTGCGGAGCGGCTGGGCCCGTGAGCCATGGCCGCTGAGCCTGCGCATCCGGAGCCTGTGCTCCGCAACAGGAGATGCCACAACAGTGAGAGGCCCGCGTACCGGGAAAAAAAAAAAGCAAATCTGGTCATCTCTGTCTCCTACTTCAAGGCCTCTGCCAGCTGCCCACTACCTACCACAATGAAACCAAAACCTTTCAACAGCTGCACAGGAGCTGCCCTTGCCAACCTTTCCTCCTTCATTCCTCACCACTCCACTTTGTACCAACCAAGTCACAGCCCCACTAGCCTCTCTGTTCCTTGAACTTGCCCAGGTTGTTCCCAGGGCCTTTGCCCTTGCTAACCTGGCTGCCTCGACTACTCTGAACAACAGTTTTCACACAGCTGGCTCCACCTTGCTTTTCAGATCTCAGTTTAAAAGTCACCTCAGCACACACTACTCCAAGTACCCTCGATCACGGTCTGTCTCATTCATAATACTTCTGGCTGCTTGAAATCATACTGTTCATTCATTCCTTATCGTCTGTACCTCCCTATTACAATGTAAACCCTTAAGAGCAAGGACTCTGCATGTCCTACTGGGACGGGTAATGTTTGCTGAATGGATGAGTCTAGGTCCCAGGCCCCCCTCAGACTCAGTACCTGGTAATCATCTTCTTCATCCTCGCTCTCATCTGAGTCTAGGGATTTTTTCTCCTTTTTGGGGTCACCTGCAGCCCCATCTCCACCTTCTTCTCCTTGTTCCTCTTCTTCCTGTTTCAGAAATGGACAATGTGAGGTATCAAAAATGCAAAACAAACCCCCAAGACTGTGATCCAGCCGCCACCACCCCCAGACTGTGGACCTTGAGAAATCAGGCCCCTAGAAGGCTGCGGCCAAGTATGATTAGAGTCCCACTCTGCCATGCTGGCCTCCAGTGGGGGACCTGTGTCAGAGGCAGCCTCTCCACTAGGCTCCACAGCCTGGAAGCCAATTCCAGTCCAACCACCACCTCGTACAGCCATAAAAGGCCCTGCTCCTCTTCTCAGCCCAGGTACCTCAGACAACCAGGGTGAGCAGCTCGTCTCCTAGGGTCCAAAGGACGTGGCTGTGGGGCTGGAAAGCACAGGCCTGCTCAGCTTCCCTCCCGCTCTCCCCGCTGCCATGTGGAGCTGCCAAACTGTCCTTGCTGTCCTGGGCAAGGCCCCTGCTTTCCACTCTCAGTCAGTGGCGGGCCAGCCACTCCAACCTGCCCACACAGAGGCCCGGCTGTGCCAGCTTCCCATGACAACACCCCGACAGGACGCTTCCCTCTACCTTTCTTGCCTCCCAGCCAAAAACATCCCTTACAAAAACCATATGACCTTTGCCCCTTGGCACCTGCCCGCACACTCTCCAAGGTCCTGGTCAGCCTCTGGTTCCTCCACCAGGCCCTCCCCACCACCCCACGCCACCCCACGCCCCTCTGATGGGCATGAAGTGTCAGTCTCCCTGACACTTCACAGCCGTGCCCCTCATCCAGCCTGACTGTGCTCCCTTTGGCCCTTAGCCAGGTGAGGATCTAATGGTGTGGTAGGGACATGGACACCAACGATGCAAACACGTTCTGTTTCCTGACAGTGGGCTGGAAAAAGGACTGGGGGAACAGAATAGAGGGACTGCCTAAGCTTCGACCGGAGGGGGAAGGGTGGGAGTCACGGAGGAGGGGATGCTGAGCAAGGTCTGAAGGAACGAATGGCACTCTGCCTGCTGGGGGTGTGGGAAGGCAGGGGCATCATGTCACAGCAGGGCTGGCAGCAGTCCTGCATGGCTGGAGCACACAAGTAGGGGTGCCGAGAGCCCGAGCTGCAGACGGGCAGAGCTGGGCGAGGGAGAGAGGAACAGGAGCAGGAACACAGGACCACAAACAGAGACCCACCAAGGCACCCGCTGCTGAGTGGACAAAGTTCTAACTGATCCAGTCAGAGGCTGGCCCTCCTCCTGACTCTCAGCGGTTGCTCTGGGACTCCCATCTGCTACCTGCTGCCTGTCCCCTCCAATCGAGCCTCAGGTGTTAGCTGCTTCTTGAGAATGGGTGGTCCTTGCCTGGCCTCTCCGGGTGCCAAAAGCGCAGGGTGCCGCCCTGGGCTACTGGAGTGGCCCGGACAGGCACGTACTCACCCTGGCCTTCTGCTTTTCAGCCTGGAGCTGTGCGTCGATCTCCTCGGGGCTCGTGTACTGCCTTGCCCGGCCTTTGTGGCCTCCCTTTCTCCCTGCACAAGGATCGGCAGTTTAAGAAGGTGGGAGGGAAGCAGCTTCCTTGATTGCCCTGGGCCCCAGGCTGTGTGCTGCTTGAGGTGCTCTCAGCAGAGGCTGCAGACCTCAGGTACCCCTCACCAAGCACCACCCAAACCTGTGCCCTTATGTGTTCAAAGGGACAAAAAAGGAAACACACAATCACCTGATGCAGTCCCAAACCATGTACTGGATGCAGGCTCCCACAAATAAGACCTGAGGGGAGGATCTGGGGGAGGGTGCACCACATGGAGTGACTGGCTAAATCCCCTGGTCCCTTTATCCAAACACAGCGGACTCAGATGTAATCATGACGAACATGTAACACTCGCCCCTGCTGTCACAACAGTGCTCTTTACTTGCAATGTTCTGTCATAGCTATGGGCTCATTTCATCCCCAGATTAAACCTATGGCACACAATCACGGCTGGTCCCACTTTATAGACAAAGGAGACTTGAGAGTAAAGCAGAGTGGGGAAGAGCACAAATGTTGGGGTCCAATCCTTGAGTTCAAATCTCAGCTCTACCACTTAATAGCTCTGTGACTTTGGGCAGGTACTTAACCTCTCAGAGTCTCAGCTTCTTCGTCTGTGTCCCTACCACATAGGGTTGTTGTGAAGATGGATTTGTTAACATATGTAAAGATGTTGGCACAGTGCCCGGCACTGGACAAGCACCACAAAAATGTCTGCTATGACTGGTACTCTTCTAATATAGCACCTGGTGTGGAAAAAAACAAAGCCACTGGTCACATCGGCGACTTACTACAGGTGTCAGGGAATATAATAAGATACTTCACGTTCACCTAAGTCATATGTATGGTAGAAAGAGAAAACTTAAAACCTAGAAAGGAAAACTTTCTCGTGCTTGGACTAAGAAACACAACTGGCAAACAAAGTTATTTAAAGTTGAAAATAAAACTGACTACCTTCTAAAAGTAAAAAATGTGACTAGCAATTAAAGTTCATCACAGATAATCAGTTTTACAGTCTGACCCTCTTGAGCCAAGACACTAGACTGACCCCTGCTAAAGCCATCAGCCAGTTTTACAGAAGGGTGGCACCCCCTCAGCTGGTCCTGGAGAACGCTGGGGTGGCTGTGGCCTGGATCCATTTCCACCTGTCCTGGAAGCTGCAGGTATCCCACCAGGTATCTCGTGACTCTCTCACTGAGAGCAGAGAATCTGTAATTAGGCAGCCAGAGCTGCTCTGGACTCCAGAGCCAGTAGCAGAGATACCGGCCTCCCATGATTTCCTAAACAGCAGCTGCAGAGCCATAACTGGGCTGCTGCAGACCACACCACTCATTTTTAATGACTACCCAGGGTTCCCAGGGGTGTCTCAGTCTATGTTCATCAAAGTCCTACTGTGAGAGATCAAGTTTGCCATCCAAAAAGCCAACATCTTTTCTTGCCCTCTTAACACTCTAAGTAACAGAAACAACTCAAAATTGACTACTATAGGTTCTCATCCCCCACGCTTGGCTATGCGATAATGATCTTAGCTTGGTCTACAGTAACTCTTATCAGAAGCTTTCCACGCCTTTAAAAGTGCTTCACAAGGGGCTTCCCTGGTGGCGCAGTGGTTAAGAATCCGCCTGCCAATGCAGGGCACACTGGTTCGAGCCCTGGTCCAGGAAGATCCCACATTCTGCGGAGCAATTAAGCCCGTGCACCACAATTACTGAGCCTGTGCGCTACAACTACTGAAGCCCGCGTGCCTAGAGCCCGTGCTCCGCAACAAGAGAAGCCACTGCAATGAGAAGCCCGTGCACCGCAACGAAGAGTAGCCCCCGCTCGCTGAGACTAGAGAAAGCCCGCGCGCAGCAACGAAGACCCAACAGAGCCAAATATAAATTTTTAAAAAAGCTTCACAGGTTTCATAACAGAAACAAGAGTTGGTCCTTGGCTCTTGGAGAATTTTATACTGTTACTTACATCTTCATGTTCTCTCTCTCTCTCTCCCTTTTTAAAATATTTATTTATTTATTTGGCCGTGCTGGGTCTTTAGTTTCGGCATGTGGGATCTAGTTCCCTGACCAGGGATCGAACCGACCCCCTGCATTGGGAGCGCAGAGTCTCAGCCACTGGACCCAGGGAAGTCCCTTCATGTTCTCTTTTACTTTTCAAGCAAATTAACACAAGCAAGAAATGTAAACCTTATCTGCCCATGAAGCTTTCACAAGCCAAAAAGCCAAGTCGTTTAAACAAGAATCCATATTTAGGATTTTCTAATTGTAACCTCCAACCTTGGCTCAAAGCATCTATTAAGTAGGACTCTTAGAACCAGAATTCTGGAGCCAGAAGGTACCCTTAGTATCCCTGCTTCTGCAGAACAGGAGACTGGGGAACACAGAGAAGACAAGGCTTTTCCTACCACAGAATAAACCAATAGAGACCTAAGTTTAAAGAGATTCAGCTCTGTAAACCCTGTGGGCTGACGCATCTTAACCAACGTAACACACGAGCAACCAATATCAACTGAACATCTGTTCTGCGCCAGGAGCCAGCCAGGCACGGCGAGTGCTCTAGTTTTACGATCCCGACCGAACTCTCCAAGCTAAGGGTTATTTCCAGATGGGGAAAACAAGCTGGAAGAAGTTAAAGAACTTGTTCAAGGCCATAAGGTTAGACAGTGACACAGCTGGGCTTCGGGTCGAGCACTATTGACCTTAAGGGGGAAGCAGATAGAGGATGGTCTACAACGTACTGGGAAGCCATGGATCCTTTACGCTCCTGGCCAAGGAACTGGCAAAGTCTAACGACTAACAGTAGTTAATTATTACTGGGCACTTAGCGACTATCCAGCACCGCGATGCACTCTCCACATGGGTTACCTAGTTAAAACCTCGCGTCAGTATTGTGAGGCAGGTACAATCACAACCCCACCTGCAAGTGAGAAAATTAAGACTCGGGGAGGTTAAGCGACTGGCTGAAAGGCACACATCGAGCCGCTCGAATAGGGCAGTCAAAACTAGGTCGGCCAGGCTGAAGAGCATCAAGTTAGGTCGCAAGAGGCAGGCCTGGCTCGCCCAGAACCCAGGAAGACGCACGTTTTACGCGCGAGGCAGGCGGGTCCGGCACTGGCGCGCGAATGCGGTGACTCAGTCCCCGGCGAGCCTGAAAGTGGGAGGAAACTTCAGACCCCCCAGGCCGGGAGAAGGGCGCCCTAGATAGGGCTTCCGGATCGCCAAGGACCCAGAGCCTCAGAGTCTCCTCAGACCCCCGAGGGAGTGGCTCGAGGCCACTACGCTCTCTTCAGTTTCCCCAGCGGGACAATTGGGCTTCGAGGCCCAGGCCTGGCCCTCAGCCCGAGCAGACGTCCTCCCTCTGTGCCGCTCTCCGAGGCGCCCGCGGGCTGAATGGACAACAGGAGCCGGACTCGGGCTGCTCCTCGAGGCCCGCAGGCCACACGCGCCCGCCCCTCACCTCCTTTAGGCATCGCGGCTCCGGCGGCTGCAGCGGCGGCGCCTCTAACTGACACCGGAACCGGAAATACTTCGGGCTCGACTTCTTCCGCCCGGCCAGTTCCCCCTCCGACCCCGTCCCCACTCAGCCAGCCGACGCCGCCGACGCCGCCGCCGCCGCCGCCGCCGCCGCCGCCGCCGCTAGGACCGGGTACCTCAGTGAGGCAGGACTGTCCCACGCACCGCCTGAGCCCAGGCTCGCACGCGCGCTGCTGGGCAACAGAGCCCCCAGCCCCCGCTCCGGGGGAAGCGCGTAAGTCTGCCAGTCACCCCCCGGAAAGTGAGGGCAAAAGGCGACAGTGGCTCTGGAATTCTGTACAGGCAGAGCTGCGGACACCTAAGATAACGCAATTTCTGCGCTAGGTGGGGCGGGGCTCCGCGAGGACCTCATCCTGAAGGGATAACTTGGGAAGCGAAGGCAGGCGATAGAGAAGGGGCGTCCTACGGTTACGGAGGACGTGGTGAGTGTTTCTCGTCTGTTTTCGAGTACCTTGGTGACTGCTGGGGCCAGGGATCGGAGGTCTGCATTGGCTCAGAAGGGCGATCTGAACAGCTGAACTGGGACGGGTTCGGGCCTCTGGACCGGGAGGTCGAAGTGAGTTCCAGAGAGGAGGCGGCGCTTTGCTCGTTCGGCCGAAGGGATGAGAGATTTGGGGGGTTCCCTTGCTTCTAGGCTTTTCCCCCCCTTTATTTTCCATGCTTTTTTTTCTCCGCCTGGAACTTTTTTTGTCTAAATATTGCGTGTTCTCGTAAGCCCCGTTCAGATGCAGTCGTCTCTCTGAGCCTTTCCTACAACCCAGGCTGTAACGTCTTCCCTCCCTCCGAACGCCTTTCCGCTCGCCGCCTCTTCCGAGCGCTACCACCTCTCTTATACGGCCCCGCACCTCTTCTCCTTGATCTGGTTACTTCTTAGCTGTTACCTCCCCTGGGACGCCTCCTGTGACTCCCCGGCTGGGCCAGGCCCTCGAATCTCCCTGAGTCTTAGTAGAGTGGTCATCCCGTGTCTTTGTCCTCCCAGCCCTTGCGCGTTGGGACAGGGACCAGATTCCATCCGTCTCTAGCTTCATAGCAGGGTAGACAAGTGCAAAGACCGCTGATTTGGGAGTCAGGAGCCCCCGATTAGAGTCGGACTCTTCCAGTTCCCAGCTGTGTGCGACCCTGAGTTTACCTCCTGTGGTTTGATCTTCATCTGTAAGGTTGTTACGGAGAATTCATGAAAGGGAGGGGCGGGGCTTCATCAACTTGTCAGGCCCCCTACAGCGGGGAGGAACTCAATGAACTTGGAAGAGAGGAGTCTGCTATGCTTAAAGATGAGATCATTAACCTGAGTTCTGTTTGCCACCTAGGAAATGCTATGCGGTTTGAAAAATGACTTGCTATGTAGATTTGCACTGGTCTGTCGTTGGGCTTTACATGACTTTCCTTTATGTAGTATGTTTGTTGGGTTTAAGAGACTTTGGCCATCCGGCTAATACACTGTCCTCGTCTTATAGACAAGATTGAGGACCAGAGAGAGAAGGTGACCTCTCCAAAGTCACAGCTGGCCAAGAACCTAAGCCTGTAACTGAAGAGACCAGAGATCTTTCTTTCTGCTACATACACTCTTGGGAAACAGACCCTAAGGTACTTTGGTTTCACACTGTCTTTATCCTTTTTAAACACTCATCTTCTTCGCTTTCCCAACCATAGCCTTCCTCACACTGTATTGTAATTCCCTTTTCACTTTGTATTTCCTTGCTAGAATATCACCTTCTCAGGGACAGTGTGTGTCCTATTCTTTGTTCTATGTTCTCAGTACAGGGACAGGCTCATAGTTGATGTCAGTTAATGATAACAGCAAAAATCTAGTAAGCACACATTAAATGCCAGGCATGTTACATATAATTATAATTAATCTTCACAATGGCCCCATAAGTAGATTCTATTATCCCCCCTTTACAGATGAGGAAACAGATTTAGGGACATGAGTGTGCATCAGAGTTGTGGCTTGTGAATTCTTTTGGGGATCTGAGGCTCAGAAACCAATTCTTTTAATTTTTTCCCCCACAGATCCTTGCAGATTATCTTCTGGGAAAAAATGCCTAAAGTCAAAAGAAGCCGGAAAGCTCCCCCAGATGGCTGGGAGTTGATCGAGCCAACATTGGATGAATTAGATCAAAAGATGAGAGAAGGTGAGTCTAGGAGTTCCTGTCTGAGTGGGCTGTGTCCAAGGGTCACAGGCTTACATGCTTCAAGGGGCCAGGCTAAATGCAAGGATAAATGAGAAGAGACAGGCTGTACCACTGTGGCCTCCTGACACTGACATGTTTTGTTTGCTTATTAACTGATAGGAATACTATAAATGCCAGAAAGTAAGATAATACAAATGAAAAGGTCCTCAAAAATGTTTTTGAATATAAGAGCTTTAGGGAGTATAGATCAAGTAGTCTACCTATAATTATTTGCTGTGTTGGTTAGAGGTATATTTAAAATCATACAAAATATATTTACTTGGGAAATCCTGTTCTTTTTCACTTCCAAATTTTCTGAAACATTTTTATTCGGATTTTTCTTGTGAGTCTCTGTTTTCATCATCACTTTGTTTTTGCATCATCTACCAGTTTTCCAGAATGCACCATCTTCACTTCCCTCTAAATGTTGTGTGATCCTGCACTTTGTGAGTCAGTGTAGTGTGCAGTTTTGGGAAATTTTATCTGAAGCCACAAGCATCTGTCGGCCCTATCACAGTATAACCACTTACTGAATTGCTTTTTTTTTTTTTTTTTTCTGGTACGCGGGCCTCTCACTGCTGTGGCCTCTCCCGTTGCGGAGCACAGGCTTCCGGACGCGGAGGCTTAGCGGCCATGGCCCACGGGCCCAGCCGCTCCGCAGCATGTGGGATCCTCCCGGACCGGGGCACGAACCCGTGTCCCCCGCATCGGCAGGCAGACTCTCAACCACTGCACCACCAGGGAAGCCCCTGAATTGCTTTTTAAAGCGATCTCTTTTTTTTTTTTTTTAAGGTTTTTGGTAATTAATCTAACCTTTGTTATTATGAAGCCATACCTCTAGCAATAAGTAGTAAGTGAGTGTTAAGTTACTTTGCTTCCTTCGAAGCTGACTGTATCAGGTAACTTCTATTAAATACCCAGAACTTGCAGTAATCAGGTCATTTTGGGCTGAGAGATTTCTTCCCCAAACAGATCTTTATTCAACATAAAGGAACTTAGAGATTGCTGTAATAGAAGAGATTTTTGTGAGTCCTTGCAAATAAACCTACTTCCTCTTTTTAAGGGGTGACTTTTTGGAGGGAGAGCATTTAGATGTATGTGATATTCTTTACCGTCAAAAGAAGTATTCCTTCTCTTGTTTTTATTTAAGCATATAGTTCTTCTCTGCTTTCCCATTTCTGATACACAGGTTTTAAGACCTAGTTTCATGTTGCTCTTGCTTCCACTATAAAGAAAACAGAGTGGATGGCAGGTAGTACCAGAGCTGGCTTTAGTGTTGGGAACAATAGGGAGCTCTGGGGGTGGGGAGAAGCTGCTACTCACCCAGGGCCATTTACCATGTGGGATGCAGCCTCAGCTTTGCCAGATTTGCTGAGTGTTTTTCTTTTTCCAAGATAAGCAGAAATTCAGCTTTTCTGTGTGAAGTCTTCTAATTTAAAATTCAAACTTAAAAAAAAAAGTGTCTGTGGGAGGAGCCAAACAAAGCCAGCCTTCAGGCTGGTGGAGGCTGCCAGCCTCCAGTTTGTAGCCTTCCGCACAAGTTTTGCCTGTGGGATCTGCGGCCGCACTCCTAGGCCATGGAGGAGCCTTGGGCCCACAAAGGCCCAAAGCCAGTGGCATTGCCAGGCCTGTCCTTCTGATCTGAGGGCCATTTACAGGACAACTCACACTTATTGAAGCAGTTGGTCCTCTTATCTTAGGAAGGAAAATTCCCGTTTTTTCCTAGTTTGACCCTGTTATTTCCTAGCTCAGCACAACTGCCCAGCTCTTTGTATGTTTCTTAGCTTGCTACTCAAGTTTTTGTATAGCCAGTGTTGCCCTGTAAGTCCCCAAACAAAAAGAGCCTGATCATAGGGACTATGGGGCAGAGATGGGGGAAGTTATGTGTGGCAGGGGTTTTTATGGGTGACTGAGAAATAAAGGCGCTATCTCCATGGACTGTAACCAGGACTTATAAATAACTTTGCTTTTACAAGTACTTTAAACTAATTGAAATTTGAAGTTAATAGGCAGTTTGGGGCATTAGCAAAGAGGCAGAAACCTAAGTCTCATCTGTGCCACAGTGTCTCCTCCCTCTAGCCTCTTTTCATACCCTCCTAGTGGCAGGACTCCACATCGCCCACTGAAAGCTGCCTTCTACTGTGTGTGCGAACCTATACAAAATGATATCCAAGAATGTTCACATGAGCTTGTGAAAATGGGTCCAAAAAGCAATTTTTAAAATGTGGGTGATGCTACAATTAAAATGTTGAGAGATGACTCAAAAGCACAGGAAGGTTCCACGTCCAGGATGGCAGCCTGAGGAGCTCCATGGCCCCCACCCCCCCTTCCCTCAGTCATCCCATCTAGTCACGTGGCTTTCCGAAACACTCTCGACTCCGGTGAACAAATGTCTTCTCCAGCCTTGACTCAACACTAGAAGTTTCATTTTAAAATACTCCAGTTCCCCCAACTCCTAAAAGTAGGGAGAACCAGATAAAATACAAATAGCTGAATGTTAATTGTTGAAGCTGGGTGGAAGGTACTTGGGAGTTCAGTGTACTGTTTTCTTTTGTGTATGTTTGAAGTTATCCTTATTGAAACCTTAGAGAATTCACGAATCTAAAATCTGTCTCCTTTTAGCCCCTCCACCCCACCACCTGGTCCAGGCTACCCTCACCTGTCACCTGGGTGCCTGCAGCAGCCTCCTGCTTCTGCTTGCCCTGCAGTCTTCTCCACGGGGCCGCCAGGGTGAGGGCTTTAGGTTGTACATCGGATCACATCATCATCTACTCAGGACCCTGCGGTGGTTCACCCCCCCCCAGAGCAAAATCAAGTCCTTCTGTGGCCTTCCAGGTCAAGCACACTCTCCCCACACCCCGTGAACTCCGTCCCCTACCCCCCACCTCCCCCAGCCCACCAAGCCCCCAGCCACACTGCTGTCCCTTGACTCCCAGGTACAGTCCCACCTCAGGGCCTTTACATTGGTGTTGGCTCTGCCTTGTACACGTTTGCCCCTCTTCTCTTTTCTTTTTTTTAAAATTGAGATATAATTGACATACAATGTATTGTTTTAGGTGTACAACATGATTTTATATATGACTATATTGTGAAATTATTACCACAAGTTTCGTGAACACTCATCACCTCACATAGTTTTCTTATAAGAACTTTTAAGATCTACTTTCATAGCAACTTTCAAATATACAATACAGTATCATTAACTTTATAGTCACCGTGCTATAGGTTCCCCAGGACTTATTTATAACTGGAAGTTTGTACCCTTTGATCACCTTCACCCATTTTGCCCACCCCCCCAGCCCACCTTGCACGTCTTGTTTCTTAAGGTCTCTGAGCAGATGTCTCCTTTGATGACTAGTATTAAGTGGCAGTCCCCCTCTTTCCCTGCTCGCCATCCCCTTCCTTGTTCCCTTCTTTTCTGTGGCCGTTACCACTTAACAACCAGGGGCTGATCTGCTTCCCTCTCAGATCATGGCTTTGTTGTTTCTGTGTCTTGCCCACTGCCATATCTTGGGCACCTGGATCATGGCCTCGCCCATAGCAGACACGCAGTGTTGCTGAGTTCTCAACACCTGCCTTTGACTTGGATCACAGAATCCTGTTTATTGAGCTGAATTACAAATTCTAGGTAATAGAACAGCCTCGGTGTCGGAGAAATGGAGGTATAGGTTTCTTAACCCTTCTCACCTTTCTCCTCTGCCCTAAAAACCAAGAAGAGGTGACAAAGATCAGCTTGTAATGCTAAGAGAAAGACTTGCCTTTTGGCAGGTGCAAGCTGCTACCTGATCCTACATGACTTGATGGAGCCATTATTTCCTGCAGGCTCGCCATGCTAAGAACTTTCAGACTTGTCTTTTTCTTTTTTCCCTAAACGATTTTGGTTGGGAAATGAAATTAGAGGTGCCTTAAAAGATTATTAGAATGCCCATCTGTAGGTCCGGAATTATCTTGAGAAATTATTATGCTGGAGAAATAGGTCTGGAAGGATAGAGACCCGGGTATTAACAGAGGTTGTCTTTGATTTTTTAAAACCTTTGCTTTCTAATTTATCTAATTTAAAAGGCATTTTTAATTTAAAGCAATTAATGTTTGTCATGGGGCTTACCTTTTGCTTCATCTTTAAAAAAAAAAACAGCCCTAATGAGCCATAAATCATATGCTGTAAAAGTCAGCCTCTTAAAGTATTCAGTTAAGCAGCATTTAGTGTGTTCACAGTTAGGCAACCATCACCACAGTCAGTTTTACAGTATTTATCACCCTGCAGAGAAACCCCATCCCCTTTAGCGGGGGTCTCCCTCTCCATTTCCCCGTGTCTCCCTGATCTAGGCAACCACTAATCTACTTCCTGTCTGTATAGACAAAGTCATACAATAGGTGGTCTGTGAGGACTGGTTTCTTTCACTGAGCATAATGTGTTCAAGAGTCATCCATGTTGTGGCATGTGTGAGTACTTCATTACTTTTTATAACTGAAAAATATTCCAGCATGTGGATAATTACATTTTAACCATTCATCAGTTGATGGACACTGGGGTGATTTCTACATTTTGGCTACCACAAACATTCATGTACAGGTTTTTGTGTGCAAGCACATTTTCAGTTCTCTTGGGTATATACCTAGAAGTGGAACTGCTGGGTCATGCGGTTACTCTGTTTACCTTCCTGAGGAATTGCCAGACTGTTTTCCATAGCGGCTGCATCATGTTCCATTCCCACCAGCAGTGTGTGAGGATTCTGATTTCTCCACATCCTCACCAATATTTATTACTGTCTTGTCATTTTGATTATAGCCATCCTAGTGGGTACAAAGGATTTATTCTTTATCCCTACTTATTAAAAAAATAACACTGTATCCTATGCAGACTACCCTATCCCCCAAAAAACAAACATGTGTTTTCTCTCCAGCTGAAACAGAACCTCACGAGGGAAAGAGGAAAGTGGAATCTCTGTGGCCCATCTTTAGGATCCATCACCAGAAAACCCGCTATATTTTTGACCTCTTCTACAAGCGGAAAGCCATAAGCAGAGGTAATTGGCCAAAATCTCTCTTGACCTTCCCAACTTGAGTAGCTTTCAGATTTATTTAATTCTTGAAACCTCACCAAGTGTCATGATGTTTCTTACCACCAAAAAAAGGAGAGGGGCCAGGCCAATATTGGCTACTTTTTTTTTTTTAATTTTTGGCTGCGTTGGGTGTTCGTTGCTGTGCGCGGGCTTTCTCTAGTTGTGGCGAGCGGGGGCTACTCTTTGTTGCTGTGCGCGGGCTTCTCATTGCAGTGGCTTCTCTTGTTACGGAGAATGGGCTCTAGGTGCGCGGGCTTCAGCAGTTGTGGCTCGCGGGCTCTAGAGCACAGGCTCAGTAGTTCTGGCGCATGGGCTTAGTTGCTCCGCGGCATGTGGGATCTTCCCGGACCAGGGCTCGAACCTGTGTCCCCTGCACTGGCAGGCGGATTCTTAACTACTGTGCCACCAGGGAAGCCCCTGGCTAAATACTCTTTTTAAGGGTGGGTAGTGATGGGCCAGGGGTGGGGGGAACTTTGTTTTTTTGTTTTTTTTTTTAAATCTGAGAAGGTTTTTTTTTTTAAGATGTTGGGGGTAGGAGTTTATTAATTAATTTATTTTTGCTGTGTTGGGTCTTAGTTTCTGTGCGAGGGCTATCTCTAGTGGTGGCAAGCGGGGGCCACTCTCCATCGCGGTGCATGGGCCTCTCACTATCGCGGCCTTTCTTGTTGCGGAGCACAGGCTCCAGATGCGCAGGCTCAGTAGTTGTGGCTCACGGGCTCTAGAGCGCAGGCTCAGTAGTTGTGGCTCACGGGCCTAGTTGCTCCGCAGCATGTGGGATCCTCCCAGACCAGGGCTCAAACCCGTGTCCCCTGCATTAGCAGGCAGATTCTCAACCACTGCGCTACCAGGGAAGCCCGGGAGCTCTGTTATACTATGGTCTGATGCCCTTTCCCCATCTTTTTGACAGAACTGTATGAATACTGTATTAAAGAAGGCTATGCAGATAAAAACCTGATCGCAAAATGGAAAAAGCAGGGATATGAGAACCTATGCTGCCTGCGGTGCATTCAGACACGGGACACCAATTTTGGGACGAACTGCATTTGCCGGGTCCCCAAAAGCAAGTTGGAAGTGGTAATGTCTCCACCCCTGTCATGTCTGACGACTGGGTGGGATGTTACTGTCAGGATTCTGCCCTAGTTGACCACAAGGAGTTTTATGTTTTTCTGTTTTGTGGTTGGCCATCCCCCCAGCAGTGAGACCCTCTGGTCAGGAATCCATGCCAGGGAGTTTGGCAGTAATTATCTTACATCTGGGGGCCAGTCTCACCTCCTCCTTTGGGCAAGTTATTGGGTTCCTTTCCTCACTTAACCAAATGGGGGTGATGATACCCACCGGCCAGTCGGCAGGAGCTTGTCCCTTTCCCTCCAGTGCTTGCCCTTCAGCCGCCCTTTTTTCCAGGCCTCCTTTTCCTCCCAGGGACACTTCAATGTTAGCATCACCATGTCTCCTGCCAGAACTTCCTCGGCGGCTGGGGAACACGGCTGGGTGTGCAGTAGCTTGGCTCCACACACATACGCCTCTGAAGTGGAGCCGCAGGAAGCAGAGAAGGGTTGCTGGGCTGTTGGCCGTTAGCAGCCTTTGAGCGCGGCCCCTCGGCTGACTGCCATGGGCCCCGCTGGGAGGTCAGGCCAGATGTCTTCTTTCACATGGTCCCTCGTCACAAGGTCCCTTCACACTGCAGCACTAGTTACAGCTTGTAGGGCTTCGGCTCAGCAGGCAGCTCTGTCCCCCTGAACCATCTGGAAGCTCAAGGACGGGCATGTGGAGCAGTGGAGAGCGAGCACGGGCTGCCTCCTGAGGGGCAGCTCTGCTGCTGGTCTCTGGCGGGGGCAGGAGGGGTGGCAGAGCAGCAGAAGCCCTGCTCCTCCAAGAGCCCCAGGGTTCCACGGTGATGTCTAGCTGGGGCTCCTGCCCCCGACCTGAGGCCAGAACAGAGCCTGCTTCAGATTCAGTTGGGTTTCACCATCAGATCTTGTTTCCTTAGACCAGAGTCTTGCTCCTCCAAAAAAGAAGAAAAAGGAAAATAAACACCATTGCCCTGGGGCCTTCTGTCTGCTGGGCGGGCTCCCCCGCCGGCCAGACACCAGGCCACACCTGGCCTGGGGGACAAGACCATTCCGCTGCCACACAGATTCAAGTACACACTCTTCTTCTTCCCGAGCCCACAGTGGAAAGTTCCCCAGCCCAGAGGCGGCCCTGAGGCCTCTGGCGCTGAGCCCCCTGAGCGGTAGCAGACCCACCCCCAGCTCACTATAGGGTGTGTCCTGCGTGCTTCGCAGAATAACAAGAATCATTTACACAGACTTTTTTTTTTCCTTTTTTGGGAGTAAGTGTGTACACTGAATTTGCATAAATTAAATCCACATAGAGAAGTAACTGCAGTGTCAACAGCAGCTGTTTCCATGTTCACGAGGGAACCGAATTTTCCCCATCCAGCACTGTCGCAGAGGGTTTCTGAGGAGTGTCCTATGGGGAGTGGATGTCCCGTGGCCACCCTTCCCACAGGAGAATTCCTGCGTGTGGGTGTGTGGCCCGTGGCAGGGGCAGGGGGTCTCAGCTGTCTTCTGTTTGCAGGGCCGGATCATCGAGTGCACGCACTGCGGCTGCCGGGGCTGCTCTGGCTGAGGCCGTCGGCCCCGACCCCTCTCGGCCCTGGACTCTGGACTGCGCAGGTTTCTGCCTGTCACGCCACCCTTTCCTGGGAGCAGCTCTTCCTCAGAGCAGTTCCCCAGGCCCGAGTAGGAGCATGGTCTCTACGTGTGAAGGCTTTGGTGTTCATCAGCTGTGATTTGTAGAAATAAAACTCTTAAACCTTTTGGGTCCTGCCTGCCTTCTTTCAGAGCCAGCAGTCTGTGGAACCCAGTGGGACAGCGCCAAGCCCTGGAGACCAGTCGCCCTTAAGGCGTGATCCTAACTCCACCTCACAGGTGCTGTGTGACCCTGAGCACTTACTTTCCTCATTAGTGATGGGGGTGGCAACCTCTCAGACGAGGAGGGCCTAAGATGACATACCAAGGTGGCCCAAGCTGCTCTTGGACTTGCCATGAACTTCTTGGGCACCTCAGACCAATGCCTGCAAAAAGCTGCAGCTCTTACTGTGGCCCAGACCTTTCCCTCAAGCTTGCAGCTACACCGGCACGTTCACGTGTCTTGAATATGAAAGGGACTCTTGGGGCTCCCGCAGAGCCATGTGAAAGCCATGCACTTTGTTCCAGCTCTGCTGGAGGTCCCCCAGGGTCTCCCCATCACCTGCCCCCAGGGCCTCTGTCCACATCGGCCACAGTGACGGTGTCCTGGTCTCCCTTTGGTTTGGTCCGGAACTTCTGCCACGGGTGGGGGGTTTCCTCTGCTGGCATCACTTTCAGCCACTGCTTATAATAAGCTCGGAAACCATCAATCTTCTCCAAGTAGGTGTTTCTCCCTTTGTACTGTAATTGGAAAAGCGTGGGGTTCCAAGGCTCAGAGGGGCCACGATTAGACTCACTGCATACTACCTACCGCTGACCCCGAACCATGGCAGCTGGCTCAGGGCTCAGGGAAGCTGTTCTTGCTTCCAGTTGGTCAAAGGGAGAGGGCAGAAAAGCTGCTCAACACCGAGTAGTGTACAGTAAAGAAACAAAGTTGTACCATGGGGCAGACCCAGATTCTCTCTCATCTGCTAACAATCCTTCCTGAATCTTTGCTGCTGTGCTCCTATATACCCAGGCATGGCACCCCAGCCCTGCACAGCTAGAATCGCTGGGCGCCACCAGCTGTGCCTCCACAGCCTGCTGAGCGCCTCCCGCTTGGCACAGGCATTGCCTCCCTCTGACTGTCATCTCAGCACTGCTGCAGAGGTCTCAGGAGAGGAGGGAAGAAGGAAAGGAAACAAGACGTGCCAGGCAGACACCAAGAGAAAGCTGGTAGAGAAACACAGAGAAGATCAGAGGAAAAACAGACAAAACGTATGAGATAAAGACCGTTACTACATGATGATAAAAGGGTTGATTCAAAAGGTTTAACAATTCTAAACTTGTACCTAATAGAGCCTGAAAGTACGTGAATCGAAAACCTGATGATCACAAATAAAAGTAAGTCCACCATAAGGGAGCATGAATGCATGACTGAATGCAATAAGCTTTAGGCTTCTGGTAGTTTGGGGACTGTTGACTGAACCTGAGAAGACCCCTAGTGGGCCCTACACAGTGAAGAGACAACCCCCCAACCGGAAGATTCTTGCAACATGAAACCAACAAAAGACTAGTGTCCAGAATATTTAAAGAACTTTGAGGCATCCGTAAGATAAGACTAACAATCAGCTGTTCAAAGATGCCCAGCTATGCCCTCCAGCACACTCTCCACTGCTGTCTCACTAGCTCTTACTAAGCCTTCAAGCATCCCCCCTGCACAGCCGTCCCTGACCCCACGTCCCCTGGCTTGGTGTGTCCTGGCCGACTTGTCTCCCTCCCAGTCAGGCCACAGCTGCTCTGGAGGTGCTCAGCATAGGGTCTGACTTAGCGGACCTAAAAACCAAAGCCCCGGAGCCTGATATCCTCAGAACAGCAAGGAGAGAAGTGGCCATTACAAATCAGATTCTATCGCTGCCCTCCTGCCGTCCCCATTCACTCGACAAACAACAATCTATGCTGGGCGCCAGATGACAGGCAGGCACCAGGGACCCAGGTGAGCAAAGCAGACAGTCTCCACCTCTAGGGGCTTTTACAATCTCTTCAAGGGAAGAGTCACACACGTGTGCATGTAATTACCAACTGTGAAACATGGTGAAAAGGAATAGTGCTCCTATGGGGGCCGCCAGCAGGGCACCTCTGAGAAAGAGCCATCTGAGCTGACACCTACCAGATGAGAAGGAACCACAGCCATGTGAAAAGCAGGGCAGCCTACTCAAGGTGGAGGGAATACAAAAACCCCCGAGACAGGGAAGAGGCTGTGGGACTGACAGTGAACCGAGGGAGGAGTGGCCCAAGCTGAAATGAGCCACGTGAACAGGGGCTCGCAGGCCGCAGTCTGAGGAGTTTGGCATTTTCCCCAAGGGAAGCCACCGACAGTTTAAAGCAAAAGGATGCCAATCCCAGCAGGTCAGAACCAGGCGGGGTGGGGGTGGCGCTGGTTAGGGAGACGACGGGCATGTTAGAGCTTGGCGCACTTACCCGGTCGAAGGTGGGTGGGTACTGGGCTGCGAACTCCAGCTGGCGGATGACCACTTCATTCACCGGGACCCTGTTCTGCCTCATGTCCTTCAGGATGTCGATGAGATAGGCGTAGTCCAGCTTCTTGACGGCTGCGTTGATGAGAGTGCTGTAGATGTGGGCGCTGGGGGTCATCTGGGATTTCTGGAACATCACAGACACGCCATCAGCAAAATGATGGCGGTGGCTGGGACAGAGAGGCCACTGGTGGCACGTCGGGCTTGGGGAGCTACCCTGCCAGTCAGGCCTGCTCTGCAGACCAGCCACCAGGGACGAGAAGGGCAGGACCTCGTAGCAACAACGGGCTGTATGCCCCGCTCCACGTCCCCCGCTCTGTGGGTCCATCCCAGGTGGCTCAGGACCCCGCCCTCTCAGCCCTGAAGAACCTAGACAGCAAGTAGAGGGTTGTTCTCAGAGATCAACAGACTCAGGCAGTAAACCACATCAGGGCAGGAGACCACCTCCTGTGGTTCACTGCACCCCTGTCCCCTGAGAATTCTGGTACCCTCCCTGCTCCCATCATGGCCTCCATTCCTCTAGAGGGTTGGGGCCAAGCCCTGCCCCCACCCCTCAATCTCACCCCGCGGCCACCACCTTGGCAATCGTAACACCCCTGGCCCTCAACGCCCATTCCTGCAGTGCCTCACCAGGGTTTCCTGTCTCCCAAATTGGGCCACTGACCATTCCACACTGCAGCTAGAGAGACCCCACTCTCCCTGCCCCACCCCCAACAGCTTACCCTGAGGGCAGAGGCCTGGACAGTTCAAGAGGGCCCCCTCGCACCACCCCCCCCACCCCAGCTTTCTTCTTCAGCACCACGGGGCCTGCCTGGGCCCGGGCCCGCTCACCCTCATGTCTGCGAGCAGCTGCAGACCATCCCCTGGCCTGCGGCACCCGATGGCCAGGCTGCAGAATGTCTGCAGGTTAGGGACGATTCCCCTCTTTGCCAGGACTGGCAGCAGTGCCTGTGGGGACAGACGTGGCATCACCGTAAGCTGTAGCCCAGCAGCCCTGCCAAGAGCCTTCTCTGCTGGAGGCGCCAGGGCACGGCTCTGCTCCGAGGCCTCGTGGCTCCCTCTGCTGACCACACTGGGCACCGGCCTTGGCCCAGCTCCCCAGGATTCAGCTGCTCTGCGAGTCCTCCCTGCCTTCCCGCCCGCCTGTCTGTAGCAGGTCATCCCTTCTTCGAATGTCCTTCATGTTCCTGCCCCCTCTGCTCCTCTCCCGGCCACCATCCATCCCTGCGCTCGGGCCTTCGATGTCCATCGAGCACCAGGGGCCTCAGGGGATGGCGGTCCTGTGGTCCAGGGCAGGAGACAAAGCCGACAACAGCATGAGAAGTGCGGGCCGAGGGAGCCCCCGGGCAGGAGATGAGGAAGAGGGTGCCCGCTCAACATGGCTGGGTCAGGGCGGGGCCCAGGGAGGGGCTCTAGAGAAAGCTGTGCTCTGCTCTGAGGGCCTGAAGGCAGAGGCTGCCTCTGTCAGCTCTCAGGAGAGCCCAGGTCAGAGCTTCTGGCAAAAGGGGCATCACACAGAAATACGTTGTACGAACGGACAAAAATCCCGTGAGGGCCCCAACGTCGCCATCTGTGAGACGAGGAAAGCCACAGGCCAGCGGAGTCTCCTGCTGTGGTCAGTAAAGAAACGAGTGGATTTGAAGCTCTCAGAACAGAATGAAGCACAGTAAGTGTGAGCAAGTCCATGAGGCTGGGGCGGGGCTGAAGGGTGGCCCCTCTGGGAGGGCGGGGAGTATGGCTGGTTCACCACCTGATTCCAGGTTTTCACCAGGGGCTCCGGACAGTCTGCGCCCCTCTCACAGGAACTGCTGACACACCTGGCAGGGGAGGGTCTGAGGGGGAAGGAGAGGGGCCCAGCCGGGAGCCCTGTGCCTCCCCTGCGCCCCTCACCTTCGCCCCCTCCAGGTCGCCCAGCTTGCTCTTCCTCCTCATCAGTGTGTTGAAGAAGGTCAGGTCGGCCTCCACTTGCTGCGCGTCCAAGATGGTGAGCAGCGAGGACTCTGCGGAAGTGCCGGGCTCCACCACCTCCGCCAACAGCGTGAGGGTTTTGATGTCGGGCCGAAGCCCATGCTCCGCCATCTTTCCCAGGAAGCCCTCCAGGCCCCCCATCAAGGCCAGCCTGTCGGCTGGAGTGGTCACGGTCCCAAAGGAGACCACAGCCGAGGAGACCGCCCCGGGGGTCAGGAGGTTGGCCTCCAGCCCCCAGGGAGGCGGCACCGGGGCCGCAGGGGCCACAGCGTGGTCAGGCTCCACCTTGGTTTCCACCCCAGGCTGGGCCTTGCCGCAGGCTCCGGCCTCCTGAGGCTCCAGAGGCCCCTCAAGTGCCTGAGAAGGTTCTAGAAACAGCTGCCTCTCCAGGGCCTCCACGTGCAGCCTGGTTGACAGGCTATCGTCCGCCCCGACCCCGTCTCTCCTCCTTGCCTGCTGCCCAACTGCCGGGGGCTGGAGCAGGACCATCTCCTCCCTGGGCCTCAGGAGCACCGCCGAGGCCACCTCCGGGTCCCCCAGGCCACAGTCCCGAGCTGCCCCCAACAGCAGGTTGTAGCCGTGCCGGCTCGGCCGGAGCCCCAGGCTCAGCATCTGCCTCCACACCTGCCAAGGAGAACAGGCCTCACCCCCAGCTCCCGCTCCGAAGAGCCCCCAGCAGAGCAGGCAGCGCAAGGCAGCAACCAGTCTGCAAACGTGGGGGCGGGGGGGACACGGGAAAGACGCCAGGCTCTGGGCCACTGAGAACCCCAGAACCTGGGAGCTTCCATGGGGCGCCGCTTCTCCTCTCCTCTGGCTCACCCCAAAACCGTGTCGCACGTCCATCTCTCCGGCTCTCCCAGGCCCTCCTCCCACTCCCCTGGGGAGGGACAGCCGGAGAGGCTTGGTGCTGGAGGAGTCCAGGCTGACTGAAAGACTGGACGCAGCTGCCCTTCCTGAGCGCCTGCCGTGTGCCCTGCCCCATGCAGCGTCCTCAGCTGCCTCAAGAGCACGGAGCGGGCGTGGGCGGAAGGGGGCCTCAGCCAGGAAGAGCACCTCACAAGCTGTGGGCCCGGGCAGGCCTGTCTCCCTTCAAGCTGAGGTCATTTTCACCCCTCAGTGAGGAGTCTAGCACACTTGTGAGTTCTCAAGGGGGCAGTCTGACCACGTGCGGTCACTCTGACACCAACCAAGATGCCACGAGATGCCCCACGAGGCTCATGGTCTCGCTGGCTCCTGTCCGCAGGCTCACTGGGAGGCCACGTGCAGCGGCCAGGAGCTCACATCAAGTGTGCCTACGAGTCAGGGCCGGCCAGGCCCAGGTGGGTGCCACATGCAAAAGGGCCACTGCCCACCAGACAGGGTCCTGAGGAGGGCAAGGGTCTGGGAAGCCACCTCCATGGGGAACACTGACAGAACTGAGGTTTATCAGGGACACAGATGCTATCCCGTGGCAGGAGGGATTCTTGATTCAAATCACAGCTCTGCTTCTTAGAGGCTGTGAGACCTTGGGCAAGTTACTCAACCTCCAGGAGCCTCAGCCTCGTCGTCTCTAAAACGGGGCTATGGTACCCAGCTTGAGCAGTTTAACAAGTGCATGACACAAACCAGCTGCTAGCGTGATAGACTATTTCTCACTAGAACAGATCGAGGCCAAAGAGAGGGAGGAACCAGATCCTGTCTATAAAGCAGCCAGGGGATGGCCGGCAGCCACTGTTTCCAGGGGGTTTGCAGAGGGGAGGCACGTGGTCCAGGGCTGCCCCAGATCACTGGGGCTCAAACTCTGTGCAGACCATCCCCCTGGGGATCTTGCTGAAATGCCGATCTGGCTGCACGAGGCCTGTGTGGGGCTGAGACCCCGCATTTCTGACAAGCCCCAGGTGAGCCTGAGGCTGCTGGTCTGTGGGCCATACCTGAAGTTAGAGCTTTTGGTGAACTCCAGGTCCTTCCCACCCCTGAGGAGCTGAGGAGACAGCTGTGGTACCAGTGCTAATCCCGCCTCCGCACTTGATAAGAGGGGTGCTGCGATGGGATTAGAGCAGCGTGTCTCAACTTTAATGTCTGTGAGGCTCTCTCAGGACTGAATGCTGACTCCTGGGTCCCACACACAGAGACGCTGAGTTGGGGATGGGTCGGACAACCTTCAGGGACCGTAAGCTCAGCGGGTCTGGGCCGGCTGCACAGAGAGCCACCAAGTGGAGTGGGAGAGTGTGGGCTGGCTGTGTCCCGACTGGAGCAGCAGCCACGCCTCCTCCGCGTGCCCTCCCTCCCTGCCATCTGTAAAATGCAGGGAGCAGCGTGCTCTGGGAAGGCCAAAAGATCACAAATATAAAAACACTCAGCACAGGGCAGGAGCAAGTGCTCAAGTAACGCACACAGGATCATCACTTGCACCCAACACAGGCACACGGAGGGGGAGCGAGCAGGGCAACAGGAGAGAAAGGACGCAGAGCCAGGCGGGACAGACCTGCAGGGCATATCGGAAACCCGTTTTCTTGTCCTGGATGCAGCCCATGAGCAGGTAACTGAAGGTCTCCTCTGTGACTGCATGTCCTTTCTGGATGATTTCCTGGGGGAGGGAACAAAGAGGGCCGGATGAGAATCTGCAGAAGAGCCAAGGCCAAGGCCAAGGCCCAGGCCCGATGGGGCTGGCTAAGGGCAGACACCCCAGGTCAGGCTCAGGGCTACGCCTCCGGAAGAGGTGGGGCCTGACTCCGGCTCCGGGCCAGCTCAGTACCAGCTGCTGGGCAGAGCTAACTGCTGCCTGCACCCCCTCCTCCTCTCCTTCCCAGGCCTCTCTTCCTGGCTCTGCTCCGGTCACTTCTCTGCAGCCTCTCTGCAAAGGCCACCCCAGCAGCCACTTTTAACCCCTGTACATGAGGCTTTGGCATTGCACAGAGCTGGCTTCAAGTCCCAGCTTCACCACTGGCTCGCTGTGGGAGTGTGGGCAAGGCATTATGCTCCCTGGTCTCAGTTTCCTCATCTATGAAGTGAGGGCACAGGACTTGCCTTATAGGACCTTTGGAACGACCCCTCAGTGAGCACTGGCTCATCTTCAGCACCATGAAGCCCACCCTCTGGTACGGCACCACGGAGTCCCATCCAGCGGGACTGCACACGGCAGAGCACACGAACCACCGCCTTCACAGGGCTGGGGGCTCCTCTGTCTGCCAGACCCAGGCCTCTGACAACAGGGTCTCATGGGATTCACCTGTGAACCCCAGAGCCCAGTACGGGGCTTGTCTCATCGGCCCCTGAACCTTCCTTCATGAGGAACACAGACAATACAGCCTCACACCCTGCCATGTGGGACTGGCCCCGAATGGGGAGCAGGAAGGAAGGGATGTCCCACCTTAAACACGTCCAGGCACATCCTGAGGTCTGCGCACATGGCGGCCATCTTCAGCAGGGAGTGGTACGTTTTCAAGTTGAGCTGGAAGTTTCTGGCCTGAAGCTGCTGCCGTAACTTCAAGGCACTCTGCAGAGCAGAGTCCTTCCAGGGGGACTCAGCACAGACGTTAAACAGGGCTGTGTAGGTGGCATCTGAGGGCTCCAGGTCTCGCTTCTTCATCTGTGGAGACAGGGAGAAACTTGGAAGTGGCTCTGGGATCAGCCCGACGCACAGACGATGGCCACCCTGAAAGGAAGCTAGAGAAGACTGTGCTACCACACTGAACAGGCCTGGGAGCTGGGCCTGTGACAACGCAGAGCCGAGTGACACGCAGACTGGGCTCTCTGAACCCGACTCAGCCCGAGGGGCTCTGGGAACTGACCCCGCACCGCAGATGCTCCAAACAAGAAACCATCCTCCCCATGGTGCTCAGCAGCCCACCCTGGGCCTGGGGTGCTTTTGCAGCAGGGTCTCCCCAACGCTCCCGCTCTGTGCCCGACCAGGCCACCCTGACTGTTAAGATCCATGGGGTGGATCTGGTCTGGGAAAGGGTGGAGGAGGGTGGTAATCAAACCCCAGCTCCAACATTTACTACCTGAGGGGTTGTAAGTTAGCTCGTCATTGGAAAAATGGGGGTGATACGGTCACCTCGAAAGGCTGTTATGAGGGAGAGCATCATGGGAGAGAGGCCCTGGGAGCAGCAGCAGCCAGGAGCTCATCCCTGCAGCACATGTCATAGTCCCCCACCCCACCTCCACTGAGTCACAAACCCCGGGCTGACACTGGGCTTATTAAGCCCTCCAGGTGACGGAGTTTGAGAAACTCCTGGTAAAGCCAAGCACTCGCTATTTCCCAGAGAAGGGCAACCTGACCGAGGGTAGGTGACCAGCTTTTGCAGAGTGTACAGAACCCTGTTCTCAGGCCATTTTGGGCTCCACTCCCAAGTCCAGCACTCTCGAGAGAGAGAGGTAACCTTAGACATGGCACTTCATCCCTCCAGGCCTCAGTTTCCTCATCTGAAAAAGGAAGACGGTGATCCCAACTTCAAGGATGGGCAGATGCTCTGTATGTGTTCACATATTCTATAGCGCGTACTAGGGACTTACTAAGGGCCAGGCCCAAATGACGAGACTAGGGCTCCCAAGAATTCTTGCTGGAATAAAGGATGTTCTCAGCTCCTGGCTACAGGAGAAGATGGGAATACTTCTGCTAGAGTCTATGGTCCTCTCAGGCACAGCTCTTTCCTGACTCAAGAGGGAAGCAGCTTCCTGGCTCTAAGAATGACAAACACACCCCAGAGGTGGGCGAATGTAAAGTAACACCATCTTCCAAGAGAAATAAAAGCCCTTTTTCAAAGGATCAGCTTTGGAAGAAAGGTGCATCTGTGCACCTGTGTGTAGCGTGAGGATGGGAGTGAGACAAAAGTGAGACAAATTAACTGGGAGTAGCAGTGGAAAAGGAAGGGGACCGGTGGGCCCTGCCACGGCCCAGACAGGCACTGGAGGACGTTCCATGTCATCACGTAGTTATCTGAGATCACCTCCATTTTATGAACGATGAAGCTGAGGCTGGAGGGGGTAATGCACTAGCAGGTGACACATCCAGGGTCTGTACCCAGCTCTTTTGGGGCCCAAAGCCCATGTTCTATGGAGCCTGGCCCCTGCTGCCCCCAGGCTCATGCTCACGTCATTGTAGAGCTGGAAGGCCTTCCTCAGGTAGCCGGCCCGCCCGCAGCCCCCGATCAGCACGGTGTAGTTGCACTCAAGGGGCTGGAGTCGCTCCTCCTTCAGCATCTGTCTCTCAAACAGGTCCAGGGCCTCAGCCAGCTGGGCAAGAGGGGTGGGGGGGGGACACAACGGGGGGGGGACCTCAGAGACCCTCAGCAGAGGGAGGGAGACTGAGGCTGGGGGACCCTAGCTGAGCCCAAGCTCAGGCCTGCCCAGGAGACAAACACCCACCCTGGGCCTCTGCCACCAGCCTCTTGGTGCCCATGGTCTGCAGCCATGGGCCTTCGCGGTGGCCAAGAAGGAAGCCCACCAGTCTCCCACCACCTGTGACAGCTCCTGGCCCCACTGCCATGGGGGAACTCCCTGAGAGGCAGGGGCGATGCCCAGGTGAACAAAGATCTGAGGATGGTGAGGGAAGGAGCCACGTGGCTCTCTGAGGGAACAGCCAGTGCAAAGGCCCTGAGGCCGGAGTGTGTTGGGAGCTGTGGGAGCAGAGAGGAGGCTGCAGCAGAGTAAGTGAAGGAGGGGAGATGCGGGCGGAGAGGTAAGGGGGGTGGAGGGCAGGTGGCAGTCCTTGCAGGCTTCATAAGCTATTGTGAGGACTCCGGCTTCTCTTTATTTCTCAACTTTTCATTATGGGAAATCTCAAATATACACAAAAGTAAAGAGAACAGCGTAACTACAATGCCTATTAACATCTGGCCAATCTTATTTCATCTATACCCTGCACTTCTCCTGCAAACTGAATTTTTTTTTTTTTTTTTTTAGCGGTACGCGGGCCTCTCACTGTTGTGGCCTCTCCCGTTGCAGAGCACAGGCCCCGGACGCTCAGGCTCAGCGGCCATGGCTCACAGGCCCAGCCACTCCGCGGCATGTGGGATCCTCCCGGACCGGAGCGCGAACCCGTGTCCCCTGCATCGGCAGGCGGACTCCCAACCACCGCGCCACCAGGGAAGCCCCCAAACTGAATTTCTGAAAGCAAATTTCAGACATCCTGTCACTTCATTCACCAAAGCTTCGACATATACCTCCAAGAGATTTTTAAATATAAATGGAATGTCGTTATCAATACCTAAGGAAATGAACATCCCCAGTGTCACTTAATACACTGGGAGAGCTGGAGAGAGAAGTCAGGCCATCTGCTCTCTGCTTTAGCGGGATGGCTCCATGCTGCAAGCCCACATCCTGGAAAGAGGTGGAGAGAGCCTCGGGGAGCCCAGAGACAAGTGTCGTTATAGCTGAGGTGGGGCGAGGAGAAGGCTTGGCCTGGGCATTCCGGGGTAGGCTTGTGAGAAGTTAGGACGGGAGAAATTTTGAAGCTAGAGCTGGTGAGAGAAAGAGAAGGCTCAGAGATGACCTGAAGGCATGTGGCCTGGGCGGATGGAATAATGGGGTTACCATTGAGTGAGATGAAGAAAGCGTAGGAAAATCAAAGTTGGGAACAAAAATTGCAGGCCACCGAGGGTAAGTATAAGGGAGATGGTGAGGAGGCAGCTGAATACACAGATGGGGAGTCCATGGGATGGCCGAGCTGGTAACAGGAAGATGGGAGCAGCATGAAGGAGGGGGCACTGAAAGCCAGGAGGCTGGCGGGTCGCCTGATGCAGCACCGAGGGGGGAGTGAAGACAAAGAGAGAGGAGCTCTCAGCATCCCACCCTTTAGAGATGACTGGAAGGTTGGGTGGCCCATCACAAAATACCACAGCACGGTGGAAGCAGGAGCCAGGAGCAGCAGAATCCAAAGGTTCCCTACCTTTCCTTCCTTGATCAGGCGTTTGCACTGAAAGAAGTACCAGCAAGGGGTGTTTCTCGGGCCCTGCCGTGATTCTGGCTGCAGCACCCCTTCCTCATCTTCTTCACCACTCTGTTCCTTGAGCCGCAGGTTATACAACTGGGCCGTCGATTTGTGGAACATTCTCCGGGAGGAGTATTTGTCGGAAAGGGTCCCAAAGCTCTCCTCCTCCCCTTCCTCCTGGGTGGCCATGGGGCTGGGCTGGCCTGGGTCAGAGCTCAGGCTGCCTGTGTTCTTCTGGCTCCGCGGGCCGAGGGACAGCCGAGAGAGGGAGCTGTTGAAGGCTGCTGGCGCTAGCCGAATCAGCCCTGCGGCCCTCGGCCACATGGGCCCCTCCCTGCCTCCGGCCCACCTGGCTCTGAGGGGGTCAAGGTGGTGCAGGATGGCCAATCCCATGGGGCAGGGGCCGGAGAAGAGCCGCGAGAGTCTCACGAGGTCCATCTCTGGCGTTCCCCTCCAGGGCCTGGCATAGGTCAGCAAAATAGTGAAAGTCAACGCGAGTTCATAGTCACAAAAGGCAGAAAGAAGACCGAGAAGGTGGGCACAAGCACAAGCCCTGAGGTTAGAAAGTAGGCCTAGCGTTAGGGTTAGGTTCAGATTTCAGCTCCACCAAACAACTAGCCTTGAGTCCCTGGGCACTCACTGCTCTGGCCTGTCTCCTCGGCTATAAACTGGGGTTAACTATAACATCACCCACACAGCACCGTAGCAACGATTCAATCTCAGATATCAGTGTTCAGGTGCAGCATGGTGAGCACTCGATAGACCTAAACTATTGATCTGTATCACTGAGCCACGACCTAAGTGACTGGGCACTCAAGTCAGAGCTCACTTTGAGCCCTGGCCAGAGCTGAGTAACTGGGCCCATTACTTGACCTTCTTGGACCTCAATTCCTTCAGCTGCAAGACCCACTCACCTTACCACAAGGCCATAAGGATTAAATGAGATGTTTTTATCATAATGCCTGGGGTTTAATAGGTGTTCAAAAAATTATAGCATTATCATTTATTAGGAAAAAACACTGGCATTCTGGGCCTCTGCACAGGGAAGTTAAGTTAAACATTTCTCTTCTGCAAAATTCATGGGCAAATCGGCTTCAGCTGTGCTGTCCAATGGGATTACTGACACTTGAAATGTGGCTAAACTAAATGCAGATATGCTTTAAAAGTAAATTATACACCAGATTTCAAAGACTTTGTACAAAAAAAGAAGGTAAACAAACTACACATTTTTTTCCATGTTGAAATGATAATATTTTCGATATACTGGGCTAAAGAAAATTTGAGACTGATTTCACAATCTTTAAACTTTAATGCGGCTACTTAAAAATTTTAAATTACATACGTGCTCACACTATACTTCTATTGCACAGTTAGGCTAGAGATCCTGGTCTACATATTTGAAACTCTTTAATAAAAAAATATCAGAATACCCCCTATGAACAGAGCCATGCACTTATTTTGATGGGAGGGTATGAATAGTTTTAGTTACTTAAGAAACAATTTGGGGAAGTTTTTATCTACTCTGAAAACTTTCGGCCCAATTCAAGGACTCTGTCAGTTGACAAAAAGTTTTCCCCCCAAACAGATGAATACTTAAACTCATTCAAAGGAGAAGAAAGCTCCCCAAATAAAAAAAAAATCAGAATAACGAGCATGAACACATTTTAAGGTCTGGTTATATTAGAAGGTGGAAAGACCTCAGAGGGGACAGCAGGTTGGACAAATTAATATCTGTGGCCCAGGGAGGGGACTGACTTGCTGGGGGCCCTGCAGCAGTGTGGTGGGCGAGATCCACTAGCTCTGGAACTGGCTGGCTTTGAACCCACGTCCATGAATAGTATCAAACAGCTTCTCTTGACCAGCACCCTAGTGACACCAGTGCAGGGGGCCTAATTTACCATTCTGCACCTGGTGAAGCTCCAAGAGAAACATAATGCGAGCCCGTATGTAATTTTAAATGTTCAAGTGACCACATTAAATAAAGGGTTTACACGTTAATCAAAATACAGAGAATTTTAATTACTGATATTGATATAAGTACCAAAATGTCTTTCAAACAAACTTATGCTCTATTAGTATAGACGCTTCTTTTTCCAGCATTAAATAACAAGTCCTATCGTCATGTCCAAGCAGCGACAACTGGAGAGCAGTTTGTTGCAGATACTCTGTCTCCAACCATCATTTACACTCATCCCCCTTTGCAATCGCGACTTCGTTTTGGACAGAGCGAACGCCACTCGGTCAGTCACCGAAGGACTTGCTAAATTTCACACTGAGACAATAAAGGGGTAATTCCTTCCTCCCCAAGTTCGTCAACCCGCTCGGGTTACTAATCCCTGAATTAGAGACACGGGGCCGCCGTCCTCCCTTGGGGAACCAGACCCTCCCCGGACGCTCCCCGGGACCCTCAGGCCGACCCGCCCCCTCTCCACACCGGCCTTTAGAGCCTCGGTCTCCTCAGCGGACGCCCCCGGCTCCGACTCTGGCTGTCACCCTCTCTGCCCCTCTGGTCAGTCTTCGTCCGGAGCCCGGGCCCCTGTGAGGGTCAAACAGGAACTCACTCCAAGGGTCCAACCCAATGAACGCGGCCCCACCTCGGCCGCCAAGCCCACGGCACCCCCCGCCCCGCCTCGCGTCACCCCCAGTCCTGACCCCGCGTCACCCCCAGTCCTGACCCCGCGTCACCCCCAGTCCTGACCCCGCGTCACCCCCAGTCTCGTCGCCGCGAACCCGTCTCCACGTTCCGGACGACCTTGCGCAGGCGCAGTCCGCGTCGCTAACACCCGGCGCGCATGGCTTCAGGTGGGCGTTCGGCGAGCTGCTAGCCGGCCTAGCGGAGCGGCCCGTACTCTGCGCTTGATTGGCCGAGTCTGGGCAGGCGAAAGGGCCGGCGCGGGCTCCGGGAGCTCCCAGCATCCCTCGGGCGGCAGCGGCGGCGGCGGCTGCGAGGCGGGGCGGTGGAGGACCTTGTGCTGCGGGGCCGACAGCGGTTAGAGGTGTGAGGGCGGCAGGGGATCTGAGCGGGAGCCGGGCCGGTGTGGCCGCCGCCGCCACCGCCACCATGCAGGAAATCATCGCCAGCGTGGACCACATCAAGTTCGACTTGGAGATCGCGGTGGAGCAGCAGCTTGGGGCGCAGCCGCTGCCCTTCCCCGGCATGGACAGTGAGCGCGGGGTCGGGGCAGGCGGGCGAGGGGCGCGACCGACTCGGCCCCAGGACCCCTATTCTCTGGTTTCGGGACGCCCTCCCCCTCAGTTCGGGAGCTCCTCCCCCTCGGTCCCGGGACTCCTTTCCCCCAATCCAGGGAACCCCCCCTTTTCACCTCATTTGGACTAGGGAGCTCCCCTCTGCCCCGGGGGCTATTTTAAGGCAGTCTTCAGAAGGGCAGGACCACGTCCGGCAGTTCAGATAACTCTTGAATGAAGGCAGGTGTCCTGGGTTGGAAATCCTGCCTTCACTCGCACACACTCCCCAACTACAGGAAAGTACTAAGATATCCCCTTTCCCTACCTCCAGGCCCCCCACTTTGAGCGCCCTTTTCCTGCTTTCATCAAAACTGGGCCGTTGGAGGAGTCTTGCTGAGGGAAGGACCCACCTACCCCTCTCTGTAGGACACCCCAGTGAGACTCTCAAGCTCCATTGTTTTCCTAGGACTCGCACTCCTGGGAGCCCATCCCTCACTGTTTCTCTGGACCCCACCTCTGGGTCATTCATCACACCCAGGCAGCTGCATGAGTTCCCTTCACTGTCCCGCTTCGCGTGGTGGCTCCTGGCTTCCCCCCCACCCCAACTCAGGTGGGACGGGTAACACTTTATTTATTTTTATTTCTTTTGACCGCGACCAGGGATTGAACCCGGGCTACGGCAGTGAAAGCGCCGAGCCCTAATCACTGCACCGCCAGGGAATTACTTGGAACGTCTAGCACTTTAAAAGAAACCAACAGTTTCCTTAATTTCTCTCTTTTCCAGACATACTTGAAATCTAACGCTATAGCATTAAACCTCAGAGGGCTCTTAGAGGTCATTGGGTTCAAGCCACAGGTGGGGCAGCTCAGGCCTGGGTGGGGGAGGGGACTTGCCAAAGATGGCTCAGCGCCTGGTGGCTCAGCTCGACAGGATTCTTGACCCTTCCACCTGCAGTTCCCCACGCCATCTCCTGTAACTGCCAGAGGACATGGGCCATAGCCCCACGTTCTCCCACGTGTCCCAGGGCTGGTCAAGTCTCCCTGCAACCTCGTTCTCCCCAAGTGGCCACACTTCTGATGCACACGTGACCTCTGAGGTGTCCCTCTCACGCTGACACTTCTGTGTGAGACAGTGCTTACGCTCAAGAGATGTAATTCGAACAGCCTTACTTTATACACACTCAGCACTGTCTCCACTGTACACGGCTCATAAGCCACTGCTCGCATTCAGATATGCACTCTTAAACCTACTCGTTGATACGCGTGGTCACTTTGTGCTTTTACGTGTATGTCCACTCACGCGTGGGCTTTTCCTGTGTTGATGGCACTAGCCTGATGGCATGGAACCCTCCACGCAGGGCGGCTCTTTCTCTTCCTCCCCGCTCCAGCCTGGAAGCACAGATGCTTGAGCCTGTGAGGGCAGGCACAGAGGTGGGGAGCCCACAAACCTGTTCTTAGGGAGGGTCCAGGACATACCTGGCCACAGGTACTGCCTCAGACTTGGTAAACGCCGTCAACATTCACTGCCTGCCTGAGATCACGGTCAGTGTGTTAGAGGCCAGGGAGGCCACAGCTCTTCTTCCCCCTTCCCTGCACTTCAGTCCCATCTTAATAAATCCCATCTTAGTTATGCCCTGAAGGCATACTTCTTTATCCTGTCTGCCTAAAACCCGATCCCCAGGACTCTGGACTTCTTCTGGCTTTAGGGAATGAAACGACCTTAACCTCTGAAAAGAATGAAGGCCCAGAAATACTCTTAAATGATACTTTTTTTAATGTAAGACTTCTCAGACTTTTTGCAATGCAAACGAGTGACACCCTTGTGACTCCCATCACTGGAACCTTAAATCTGTCCTAGCAAAAGCTGCCTGCTTCCAAGAAGCCAACGAATCTCTTGCAAGTTAGCAAGGAGAGGCACGTAAGTGGGCTTCAGAGATGGTGTCGGTGGATTTCCCATGATGCTAAAATGCCTGTTGATAGAGAAAACTGTGTGGGAAGACACGGGCTATTTATTCTGGTGGCCATGGCAGGTGAGTCCCTGGGCTCCTTGGGACAGCCCTGGACCCCACTGACTTCCACTGCGCTCAGCTTTTATTCTCCTGTTCCCCTCACCAGGACCAGCTCCATCTGTGGAAGCAGAAGACTGTGCTCCTTTAGTTACTGTGTGTTGGTATTGCATGTTAAGAGCAGTCCTGCTCCTGTGTCTTCAGTTACGCTCTTCCCTCCGGAATAGCTTCTCTAAGGCACCTGCCTCTTCTCTGGAGCCGGTTCCTCCTCAGAGCCCCCATCCGCTTCTTTGTGCTTCCTGTGAGATCATTCCCTCCCTCTGCCTCAGGTGAAAGTGCCCCTGAATTAGCCCTCTGGGACGTCTGAGCTGGGAGTAATGAATTTCTGTGATCTTCCATTCCATCCTTCCTTCCTCCATCCACTCTGAACTCCTTGAAAGCATCTTGCTTATAGGAGATTCTCAGAAAGCCCTGAATAATGACTGGTCTCAGCGTGGATGTCTCATTTTGCAGGGAATGACTGAACTAAGGAGCTTTTGCCTTGCTTGGTCAGGCTTAGCATTTTTTTTGCCACTCTGTTTCCTGTGCCTTGACCCCTCCATGGGTTAAAGGCCAGAAGGGTTCCCTCCCCATCTTCACATGTCACCAATAGCAGTTACACATCGCTTTGTTTGACACCTCTTCTCCTCTCTGCAGAGTCGGGGGCTGCTGTCTGCGAATTCTTTTTGAAAGCTGCCTGTGGCAAAGGTAAGAGACCCCTGGCTCCCGACGTTCCCCCTGAGGCGCCCTCCACCGCCCTGTCCCCGGCAGACTCGCAGGCTCTCAGGTCCCTGGCTCACCCTGCTTTCTGAGATTCACGGTGTCCCTAGATGAAACTGTGGTCCAGATAAGCTAGGAACGTGGTGGGGTGTTCTGCCTGAAACCTGGAACACAGGCCTGAATCTGGCTCTGAGTCTGCCTTCTCACCTCACTTTCTCTGCAGCCACGAGCTGACCTGTGACATGGACAGAGGCCCCTAGCCCTGAGGTGTTCAGGAACTTTCTCAAGGTCATAGAGTCAGTGAGTGGCTGAGCCCAGGCCTTTTCTGATTCTACAGTGTACACAAGCTCATGTCCTCTGTGTACTCTCATCAAAAAACTCCACGATAGTGTGTCTCGTGGGGTTCTTGTTCATACTAACCAGGTCCCAACACAGGCAGCGTGAGCCAGACTCTCTGCTGATCCATAAGACATACCGCTGGGTGGGACCCTACATGCCATGTACAGGTCTGGGCATTTTTCTTCCTGTAGCCAAATTTATTTGGAAACTAAATTTTAATTAGAAGCTTGAATAGGGTGCACAGAATTACAGCAAGGGGATGGTTTTAAAGGATGATTTGGGCAAGTTGTGGTTCTATAACTCAAGTCATTTACCCTGCCAGGTAGATCAGCCAGGTTGACCTCAGGCTCTCTGGTCGGAACATTATTCCTCTGCTGGGCTCCTGGTCTCATTCCCTTGTCTTCTGCCTTTCTGACCCACCACCTTCTGTTAGTACAGCCATCCTTAACACAGGGCACTACGACTGTTTCTGTGTTAACTAATACAGTAGCCACTAGCTCCGTGTGGCTGTTCAAATTTAATTAAATAAAAAATGCAGTTCCTCAATCACACTAGTCGTATTTCAGTTACTTAGTAGCCGTATGTGGCTGGTGGCCGCCACGTTGGACGGCATAGATAGAGAACATTCCTATCATTGCAGAAGGTTCTGTTCAGTGGGGCTGGTCTGGATCTTTCCCAGACACAACCTCATTCTGGTCAGGCCTTCCCAGTAGTCCCTCCAGGTCACCAATTAGACATGTGACTTTCCCAGGGTATGGCTCTGTCCTATTTGGGTGATTGATTGCTCAGGTTCTACAGAAGGCAGACCTCCCCCAGTTTGTATACGATGCATTTCTTCAGTTCTGAAGTTGATTTCTTTCTTACTTGTTGGAAGCTAAGTGGGCACTTTTTGGGGTTTGGGAGGTTTTTTTGGGGGGTATGGTTGCTCTACAATGCTGTTAGTTTCTGCTGTATGGCGAAGTGAATCAGCTATATGTATATATTTATCCCCTCTTTTTTGGATTTCCTTCCCACTTAGGTCACCACAGAGCACTGAGTAGAGTTCCCTGTGCTATACAGCAGGTTCTCATTAATTATCCGTCTGATACATAGTAGTATATATATGTCAATCCCAATTTCCCAATTCATCCCACATCCCCTTTCCCCCCTTGGTGACCGTAAGTTTATTCTCTACGTCTGTGTCTCTATTTCTGCCTTGCAAACAGGTTCATCTGTACCATTTTTCTAAATTCCCCATATATGCGTTAATATACAGTATTTGTTTTTCTCTTTCTGACTTGCTTCACTCTGTATGACAGTCTGTAGGTCCATCCACGTCTCTACAAGTGACCCAATTTCGGT